CGATATTATTTTTTCAAAATAAATATCCACGTTTTCAATTTGAGCAGAAAATGGCACAATAATCCAATCAGGGATGTCAATGTTTTCCAAATTAACAAAACACAGTTTGAAATCGTCGCTCAATTTTTCAAGATTACCTGTATATATTTCCAAGTGTTCTTCTTTTATTTCTAATTGTCACATATCTGAAAAATACTGATAATCCTTCGACCAATAGACCCTTCCGGTTCGGATCGACCCTCATTCGACTCCCTGGCTCAGATCGACCCCCGCTTATGTTAAATAGACCTCTGGAGGTCTATATAGACCACTTTGGCGACCTCTGCTCTAGATACTCTTAATTTTAATGTCATTTTCTTTTGATGCCATTTAACTTATTAAGGGCCAACGTTTCCATGAACTTTCTTTGGAAAGATAAAGACTGATAACTCTATTTTGTTCTTGAAATTGATCTTGGAAAAACAAGACATTCGTATTCACCGAAATATATTATTATAGTAAAAATACATACAGGATTATCCAAAAGCTGATTTACTGGATTGCTCAATTATCCGGATCTTTGAAGAACAAATATTTTTCCCACCTTGTCCAAAATTTTCGTTTTTTCTGAAAATGCTTTATTTTCTAAATATCTCAAATGTGTCAGAAATCGCTTTTATCTGTGTGACCTCAAAAAGATCAGTTTCAATATGGGTAGTAAGTAGTTTTAAATAATAAAACAGGTTTCTAATAAAAATTTAGAAAAAAAATAAAACCATTAAACATGCCATTTTTTTATATATATATATAACCGTCGTTGAACAGCCGACCCTATTTTGGGTTGATGACTACTAATGTTCATCCCCGTAGCCTTGTAATTTTGAACCAATCCAGAAGACAAGGAAACTCCTGGATCAGTACCCCCAGAGGTATTTGTTATGGGAACATGGAGGACTGTGTGGCTCGACAGATTTAACACACACCAGTCGACATTTACTATACAGGGAGTCTTCAGCCGGCGAGATATCGAACCCACAAGTGTATGTTTTTGTGGGCACCATATAGATGGATCAACAACACAAGGACATGTAAAACAGATAGAGATTTGAACCCAGGACCTTCTTGGAATGAGACAGACTCTTTACCATACAGACAGATTGGTTATTAATCAATACTTAATTTAATATTAATACATCTCTGTTCTAAAAGAATAATTCAATTCGCTATTTAAAATTCATTTTTTTAAAATTATTATTTTCAGAAAATTAAATTAGCAAACATTTTATTATAAATAAATCACTTTAAACAAATTCAACTAATTTTTAATGTGCTTAATTAGTTGTGAGGAGATAATTTCAAAAACATATTTAGTGTATTAGGCTTGCTGATATTTAAAATAAAGAATACTGAGTGAATTCTAGAAACAATATCAAATTTGCTGTCTTAATTTTAAACTTTGTATGATGAAATCGAATCAATAAGGGCATCAAGAAAAAGTTATTTGTTTTGATTTTGTAAGTTAACTTATTATTGACGGGCTTGGGTCAATAGAATAATAAATCACATTTTCAATTGTCCTGGAGAGCGTTCTTGCTGAAACATACAATTTTTATGTGTGCAGTAGGAAGTTTCTGTGTACTATATCATCCAATGGAAAAAAACGGGGGGGGGGAAATCAAAAATAAGTACCTATCTGAAAACAATACTAAGGAGCAGTTAGTAAAATTTTCCCATTTGAAAAAAGTGTGGCTCATTCTTTAATTATTGAAGTCCTTCAATTATATCCTTTTTTTTTTGCTGGCCAGTATAAACCCAGCAACATACAGGTCATTATAAAGCACAGCATTGTGCTCGTGTGGATAAATGCATAGTTATAAAATGTCCCATTTATTAGAAAAATAATTTATTTATTCTCAATAGAGCATGTACATTCAATATATATATATACGTATTTCTATAATTTACATTTTTGTATAATTGTCACACACACTGTAAATGAAATGACAACACAAATAATCAACTCTTATGATAATTTTAAAATAATTTAGATATGTAAATGGTTATGTCAAGTGTGTTGCTATTGTGACATCAAATTATTTTTATCTCAACATACTTTTTAACACAAATTTAAAAATTTATGTACTATACAAATCAAAGCAAAATCTCTATTTATACACCTATATTCAAAATCTCTCGACAGAAATATTTTTTTATTCACGAACAGCTTTTATATTCAGTCTTTTTCATCATCACTATCTTCATCATCAAGAACCATGTATGTTCTCTCTTCATGTAAACTTTTTGCATAGTTTATTTGCATAGCAACCTTAAAGAGATGAAAAAGAATAAATTAATAAAATATGGCGCTTAAAAATAAACGCCCACTCTCAAGACTTGCCAGGCACAATATTTCTTCATTCGGGTCTAGCAAGTCTTGAAACATCGACTTTTAGACCCATCTCATTTTTTTTAATCGAGTAATATCTTTCCACTTTAATTTCTTAGGGTTATATATTTGCAAGTTAATTTAGGTAATATCACAGCTCATTATAAGCGACTTGGTATTCAGTCCAACTCGTTTAAAATGAACCCAGATAGCAAGCCAAGCTTGCATTAAATGAATTCTGGTTTGATGACCAAGAAGTCATCAGAAGTTCTAAATAAATTCCTAATTTTGATGCTGATAGAAGGTTAAAAAAAAAGGAATATTCTTAAATGCCAATGTAAATGTATTTAAATCAAATCAAAAATTTGAAAATGCACAGAGAAGAATTTGTTGACAGTACTTCCAAGAAGACTCCTTAGGATATTGTAGCTAAAGTTCAAAAAGCACATGAGCTGCAATTCAAGCATACAAAAATAAGCAATAAAGATAACAACAAATGGGAATAATTTCAAACTCATCAATAGTTTTTGAGTGTGCAGAAAAGTGAAAAAAATTTTTGTGGAAAGTAAGGGTGCAAATAATGTTTTTCAAGTCAGGAGTCTAAGTTCTGGATAAGTAGCCGGGTTTGTTTAAGCAAATTAGACTGTTTATCAAGCTGCTTATGATGACCTGACCTTAATTAACTTGAATGTAATATTCTATGCATATATATCTATATATTTGCAGAAATTATACTCAGTGGCTGCCTAAATAGTGTTATTGTTGAGTTACGGCATAACAAAGAGCAATAAGACAGTTCAAAGCAAACTAATCAACTTCTTTTTTACTGAAAATAAGTAAATACAAGATTTATAATTTAGTAAGTATGTAAGAACATTCAGGTTTTTTTCATGAATTGATTTTTACGAGTACTTGGTTATAACAAGCAAATATTGCAGTCCTTTGACTGCTCGTTATCGAGTGTGCCTGCATGTGTACACACACAGATATTATTTAGAGCGATATGTATATACAAGTAAAAAACAGATTTCACTTAGAACATTTTAAAGTATTGCTTGAAAAAAAAATTATGTAAGTTAGTTTTTATTTCTAAAAAAAGCCTCCAGGTTTTCGCAAATAACAATGTTTAAGTCAAAGTAGCTTTTTCTACAGAATTCGAAAAATATCTAATCTCTTCAAATATTACACAGTATATAGAATTATTAAAAAGGAAAATAATACAAGAATTACAGTAACAAATATTTACTACACAATAAAGGCTACAAGAAAAATAAAGCTAATAATTTCTAGATATTTTATTTAATTTTATAATTGGTGTTAAACAGCCGATCCAATTCTGAGTTAACTATCAGTCTTCCAGGTGATAAAATAACTTCTGGATCAAACAAGCCTTCATTGAAGACTTTTTTGATGGAATTGACCCGTATTTTGTGTTACATGGTGAGAAATCACGAAAACCTCTCCAGCTTAGCCCATTCTAACCCATGAATGTCTAACACTTAGGATATTTTACGTTGGCACTGGAGTCAGTGTGAGCGGGGAACAGAATTTGGATCAACCAGCCACTACTGGGATTTGAACCTGGGTCACCTGATTGAAAGGTTAAAGCTTTATACTCAGAGCCAGCACGGCTCTGGGTATAAAGCTTTAACTTAGATATTGTCAAAAATTCTTATCTTGATTACTGCAAAAGTTAACCATTTATCAACAGGAAAATAAATTTAAAACTGTATTGCAAAAATGGCATACCTTTTGTGCTACATCATCTGAATCACATCTGACTTGAGGTTTTTTACAAAGAGGCTCAAGTGATGCACTTCTAGAGAGTCTTTGGTTCGTAGTTTCATTAGGAACAGTGACAGAGCCAGCTGCATTATCAGCTTTCATGATCAATTGTAAGTAATGCCTAACTTCACCAATCACTCCAGCTTCTGAACAAACGTAACTGCATTTATATAAGTCTGTAAAAGGTACAGTTAACACTATATTGCTAGAGGAAGGCGATGTACTGCTGAAGAAATATATTTGTTCATTAGAAATAAGTGCATGTAAATCTTCTGAACCTGACCGAATTTGTTCTTTGGCAATAAATCTGAAATGAAACAAATAATATTTAGCAACAGTATTTTGGTTTGGGCAAAAAGTTAAATGTAAAAGTTATAAAACTATTTAAGACAGCTTTAAAATTATAAAATAGTTTTACAAAAAGGATTAATCATCATAAGTTTTTTAACAATAAGAATACTGAGAATGTTTATGAAGTGAACTTTGAATTTCATTTATTTATTTTAGTGATGTACAGGGAGTCCTAAATTTTTGCCAGGTTTGGTGACTCAGTGACAACTGAATATTCTACTCAGTTGGTTCCTGATACCCGGCAAAAAGTTTATTTGTTACCCGGTAAAATTTGGATCTATTAATCACCTGGGTATTATAAAATTTATGCAAAACAATATAAAAATCGTAAAAAAAATAATAAATTTTTAATTTGGGGTGACTGTGCCGACGTAGAATGATTAATTTAAAACTTTTCTATGAAGTAAAGACTTCTGTTAATAGTTGACTTAATAATAAATTTTTTATTTGATTTAGTTGAATTTTCAATAGCATTCATTAATATAGCTTCTGTTAAACATAAGATAATTCAACAAAATGGCAATATATCGAATGAAAATTTTTTAATCATTTTAATTTTAATCATCTAATAAAAGTAATTTAGGTTAGATGGACATCTATAATTTAGTACAATCTCCAACTTTTCGATACTCATCAAGAAATTTTCACTAATTAATATTGAACAGAAAATTCATAAAGTGGTTTTGTAGCCCTCAATGTTACGATTCTTTTTCCGCATCCTAGTAAATTTGAACTAACAAAAGATCAAGCAACAAACAAGGGTAAATTTATAGAGCTAATAAGTAAGGAACACAATATGCAGTAAAAATTTATTTAAAAGTTACCGATGTCTAATACAATAATATTTTTTAGTGAATTTTTTGTTGAGTTACTTAAAAAATTAAAAAGCTTTTTAAAAAATAAATAAAACAACCCTAACCAATTTATTAATATAATTTTGTTAGAACAGTTTTCTCGGTTTTAACATGAGCTTTTATTTACTAGCAAATTAATCTTCAAAGGTGTTTAAATTATGGTAACAGCATTTGAATAGTTAATATGTAAGAAAATGTCTATGTTTGCAGCTGTTGTCTATTATATTTCAAAAAATTGGAAAGCCTACACACCTAAATAATAAAAACATATCGCATTTATGTTTTAGATTTCAAATAACTTTTGTTTTTTCACAATCATGTCTGGTGCCTATTTTTGACTGCTCTAAACATGCTCAAATTTTATTCCTCAGCAGAGGCAATGGCTCCCCACCTTTAGTAGCCCAACGACCTTCACATAAAATTGAACATTTTATGGTAGAACAGTTTAATGAGGACTAATGCTGCACATTATTGGTCCCTTGACAGGTTCAATTCAAAGTGGTCACCCAGCCACTCACTGACTATGACAATAATACTTTACTTTGGTGATCTGCCGAAAAACGTGTCTTATAATTAGTCCACTGTGGGACAAAATGCCTAAAAAAAAATTCGTAACATGAATAATATAACTAAAATTTTGAATCGATAATTTATTTTGTCTTAATTTAAAGAACTCATAAGTTATTCTTTTATCAAATATGACAAAATGGGAACTTCAATGTATTTGTGTTTGAAATAACTTATATTACCTTAAATTCTATCTTAAATAAAAACCAACTTTTGATTATTGTTGTAAATAACTGATGGTAAGACTATTTTTAAAATGTTTTCAATTTCACTTTTAATCTGAACAACATTATATTTCAAACTAAATTCACTAAGAATCTATATGAAATTTAATAGAAACTTCCTTAAGTTTTATTTGAACTAAGTTCTAGGATAAACCTGTGTTACAATATAACCAACTAACAAATACTCTTTAAAAAAGAATATGCTTACAGTTCATTGTAATCTCTGTTATTCAGGTTGTATAGAAAGTCTTGACCCAAGGCTTGTTGAAAGGAATACTTTGGCAATAAGCTACCAGATCCAACACATACACGAGGAGGTCTTGTTCTTGATACTGTGGTGTGACCACTTCCTTTGCTAGTATCTCTAACAGCACTTGCAGCACCAGATGCAAAATCAAGGAAACCAACTGCCGGTTTAGCTACAGTACCAACAATACCTTTTCCTAAACCGGAAAAGAATCCCTGTAAAACGAAAACTGAATTTAAGTATACTTTCAAAAAAGTACAATGGTAATTTAATTACAGTAGAACACAGATTATTTGACATTCACATGATCAAGGGTGTGTCAGAAAATCAAAATCATTAGAGATACATACTTTCTTAGTTGAATTTGTTATCAATAGGATGCAATGATGAATGTCCCAATAATGAATATTTTGAAAAAATTAAAACTAGCTGATTATGACACCAAAAAAATAAACCTATTTGTATCTAAAAACAAAATACAGTGCAACTATACTTACAATTTAAAAATTACAATTAAAATGTATTATAACATTGTACAATTATTTTTTGTGTTAATTTTCAAAGCATTATTTTACATTAAAAAAAGTATTTGACTTTAGAAATTACCAAAGAAAAAGAAATTATTTTCATCCTTATGCTTTGTTTGTCTCTTTTATTTGCAGTAACTATTTTAGATTTTTACTTTTACAGAATTGTTCAGGAATTTAGTTAATTCAAAACAAATATTTACATAATCATAATTTTTAAACTTTGAAATTTTCTAACAGTAACTTTTGTTTCAAAGAGTAAAATAAACAATAATAACTTTAAAATTCAGAGAAATAAACTTAATAAATTTGCACACACAAAAGCAACAAAACAAATAAAAACTGTTTTAAGATTTGTACAAAAATGTAAACAGTATTGGTATAACCACACTATAATATTCAAGTTATATGAAATATTTTAAGATGGTTTTCTATAATTAGTCCCAAAAAAAAGTTCAACACAAAATCAAGTTAAACAAAAACAAGTTTATTTCCACAATTTTAAACAAAAAATGAATCAATGATTTTGATTTTAAGGACCTATAAAAATAAGTACTGAATATGTATTTCATATTATTTGAAAAATACACACCTGAACGCCTTCATGCACAGCTCCTTCATAAGTCTGTGTGAATACACTAGTCATTCCTCCAATTAGACCAAAACCTAAACCTTTCAGCCCAGCCATAAGATGATCATTTCCTGATATCACACTTTGTTGCTTTATTTGTTTTCTTATTTTTTCATGCTTATCATCCATGGAAACTAATCCCAGACCATCAGACAAACTTCCAGAAAGTTTGGCAGCAGAATCTGACAAACCATGAGTGACATTTTTAATAAGGCCACCAACATTTCCTTCATGGATAAGTTTAGAAATTCCATCAGACACATCATTAACAAGTCCGAGAGGATTACCCAAAAAGTCAACTGCACCAAGAATACTAGCCGCTTGGCTTTTTAACTCTTCCTTGTAGTGCTCAAGGATGCTGTCAATTAAAAAGTCAAATGTTTCAAATGGATGCACTCTCAAAAACGAATCTAGCTCAATCAATGCATCTTCAAATCGTATAAGTCGAAGTTTCATTTTTTTCTTTACTTGAAGTAAGTCTGACTGGAGATTACTACTTGTAAGAACACTTAATTTTATTTGCTGCAAACACAGTTTCAAAGTACTGAAATAATATCGTTTCTCATAGGCCATTGATTCGGCGATGTTTCTCTGACTTTGACCTTCGTTTTCATCAGTCTCTTCTTCACCAGATTCAAATAGATAGAATCCAGCAAACTGAACTAATTTCAAAACAAGTCTTTCCTCCAAATGTATTGACAAATTTTTCAGGGTCACAATTAAGTGCTTAAATATTTCTGCATTTATCAAGGGAGTGCACATCTTTTGCACAGTAAAATGCAAAGCTGGAAGATGCCTTTCATCATCAGACTTACTTTGCTGAGTGACATATAGCATAACAGGCTTCTCAGCATCTCTTAGTTGATTATCTATTTGAAAATCTTTAATGCTTCCACCCAGAGTATGATGCAATGCAGTTTTATTATATTCCACCATGATACTATGAAGCCATACATAAATTAGTTCCTCACTTAGATGATTGGTTAATGATAAGCCCAAGCCTCTAGACAACTCAAAACAAATTTGAATTTCAATATCACCATATTTTTCTTTAGCCATAGACGAGCTCTTAGAATGGGTTAAATTATTATCTGATGGCTTCTTCGTCTGTTCGTTTTCAACAACTACCCATTCGGATGCAGATGATGTTTTTGAAACAACTTGCTGTCTTTTGAAATCGGTTATCAGAAGAACTCTTGTTGGGCCATCAGGAATTACTTTCACTGTTAGAACTCCAGATCCTGATCTAAGTTTACGCCGGGAGATGGCTTGTTCAATTGGTATACCATTGCTTAGAGTGACATAACTTACTGGCAAGCATGGCCCTAGAACAACCTCAGTACCTCTTCTTAGACCTTTGAAGCCATCTTTAGACTGAACAAACAAATTTGGATATCCACAACATAGCCTACCATCTGATGTAAACTTCCAAGTTTGAGTGTGAATTCTCCGGGGGTCAGGTTTTCTCAAAATAAGTGGAGTATATTCATTAGGCTGAGCACCAATATCGGCAATATCAAGTACCATAATTCTTGAATTATTGCAGGAATTTGGTTTATGAGGATCTCTTGGGGGACTTGAGCCTTCATGTTGTAACATACCTGTACTAGTCATCCTCCACAATTGAGAACGCTTTCCAGCTTCTCTTTTATTTATTACTATTTTATTGCCATAAGGTACATCAAAAACATATTCTTTTCCAGACAAGTTATGAGGGATTAAATTTAATTCATCATCGGGAAAAGTACCTTTAAAAATTATGCAAATAAAGTTTTCATAAAACAACTGATTTCCCTCTCTAAAAATGTTCATGTTATAGGTAGCAGCTGATCCCCCTGGAGCACAGCATGTAATATATGGGGGTAGAGTCGGAGCATCAAATGCATAGGGTAAAGAAGAATGAGCACGAATAGAGGTCCTGAGTCTTTCTTCTTCTATATTCGTTTGATAATACATTATTGAAACTTCAGAGTGATTATCAATGCGAAAAGGTGGAGGTAACCTATCAGCATCAGTAAAAATAATAAAAAATGTAGCTCCTTGCAAAATTATTTCAACTCTGAGAAAGTTTGATTTGCCTTCACCATCTCTCATATTAATGTGAAATGAATTAATATGATCAATAGGAAATCCCCCTGACCAGTAACAATTATTAATATCTGGTTGGCGAACACATAATAAATTATCAAAATCAATTCTGGGCCAATGAAAAGGCAGGTTGGATTTAGGCATAGCAGAAAGGACGAGATTTGAGCTATCTTTCGTGGCATATAACTGACAGAACTCTAACTTATGACTTGTTCTATTATCAAGTTGGTACCTCGGGGATAAAGTTACAATATGTGTATCTCCATATCTGCCTTTACCAGCACGTACATCTATACCAACATTAAATACTAAATCTGGTCTACCGTCTCTTCTTGAGAGATGCAATCTTCTTACTCGAACACCCTTTTCTAAATCAAATTTCGTGCACCATTGTGGGACTCCATCTGAATAATATGAACGTCCAACCCTAACATTGCACATTGAGCTGGCATCACGATCCGAAAATGAAAACAAAAGTGGTGCCATACATCGAGCTAACTCGTGTTCTTCAAACTGACCTGCAGCTTCACCATATGAACCTTCTTGCTTAAAGACCAAAGGTAGACCAGTTTTATTGATAAACCAATAGGGTGCTGAAATTAATAATTTAATACCACCACCAGATAAAGTTATAACTCTAAGATTGAGAATCAATAGTCTATCGCGACTGTCACACAACTCAATGCGAGAGGGATAATGCCGAGAACTCGAGGAAAGAGGTATTTCTTTACTTCTTTTGAAATTTTCAAAGAAAAGTTTTAAATGAAATTGGTTGCTTATATCAATGTTATGTAAAGATTGGCCTTTTCCAGGTTTAACAAGACCAGCGATGTTAAAATTTTTAATCATAAAGTGAAGTTCATATGGTAACAAATTAAGGATTTCTAGAGAAGGAACAAAAAAGATTTTATGAGCTGGATGCATGGTTACTACATGTGATCCCGGTGGTGAATGGTGCTCTTTTTCAACAGGAAACTTTCTCCGTTTTGTTAAGGTTAAGAATCTATAAAATTCCGTAGTTTTCTGAATGGAATTACATTGCTTAATTGAACCTTTTATTTCACCAGGTTTTGTAACATGATGCCATGTAACACTATGAGTACAGTAGGCCACAAATTTTTCCAAGGGTCGAGCCCATATCTGGGCATGCACAAATGACAATGGTATAGGTAAAGTTTGTTTTGGTACTAGATATAAGTTGAGACTTTGAGCTCCATACTGCATACCTGAGTTCTCAAGCTTCAATTCAATAGTGTCTTCAAGTTGGCTTGATACTAACAGAGATGACTGAACAGTTATAAGTTTCCGAGCACTACCTTCCAAACGAACAACAAATACCAGTCTGACAGGTGGTTTATCTGTATAAATAGAGGCTGAATGACTTCTTAAGGGTTTCGCATGCCTGAAATACGTCCCAACTCGATCGACTGATACAGGAGCTGTTGGTAGCCATCCTTCAGGTTTTACAATTATCTGATGAAGTTTTAGTAAATGGGAATCTTTGTGACGAATTTTGGACCTGCTCTCAAAAGGAACAGGTATTAAATTACCAGGAAGAACTTCAGTCCAACTAAAGGAGGCTTTGCTGTTTTGGGCAGGCAAGTTTTCATTTTCAAGACTTAGGGATTGTTGCTTGGCTGATATAATTTGTGTGGTAAACAATAATTTACAGCCTGTGTCATTTTTTAGAGCAAATGGCATAAAAGGAAGCCTTCTCCTATAACAACCTGGACTATGCATTTCAGAGGAAGCATCTTTAGTTCTATTATTGATATTTAAATATTCCTCAGTCCAGTTCTTTTTTACTGTTCTGAAAAGTTCAATTAAAGCTGTAGTGACATTAAAATTTAAAGAATCGACAGAGGAAATATGACAAAAAACCTTTTTCCCAGGTTTTGATTGAGTAGTTTGCATTTTCCATTTCAATGAGCATTTCCATGGTTCTATTATTGGTTCCCAGCCAGACAGAGCCCGGTTATAATAATCCATACTGAAGCAAAAGTTACCATTTCCTTCTAATATGTTTTGAAGTTTTTGTACAAAGGAAACATCTATAAAATTTAACTCTATAACAGGTACATCAGCATCTCTACAATCATCAATTATACAGAGACTTAACGATGAAAGGCGAATTTCAGCACTGCTCAAATTAATAGTTTTAGAATCGTTTTCTTTATTGTTTTTCACAAATGCAACTTCGGATGTTTCAACAAGGGGAGAAGCATTTTGAGTAAGCCACAATGCAGCTTCATTCACATTTTCATTGCAAATTTTCAAAGCATTTTGGCAATCTCTATAAGAGAAGCCAAGAGCTTTTAAGCATTCAATATTTGGATTTGGAGAATCATCATGAGGCGATGGTGGTTTTATAGATGGATTTGAATAAAACCCTACTTGCTTTTTAATTGATTCAAATATTTTTATGAACATTGTCATATCATAGTATGAAAGACGAAGATTCAAATGTAGTGTAGACACTTCTAAAACATGCTGTAATTCTGATGATTCTAACTGAATTAAAGGTGAACTAAGTTTGCTGACGATTTCAATGCTTACAGTTAAAGGATCAATAATTGAAAGTGCTGTGTCATCTTCAACACCAATGATACATGAAAACACTTCTAAGCTTTGCAAACTACAAGAAAGCGGTTTGTCCAAATATTCAGGTCTCCAAGTAACAACAGCAGTAGTTTTTACAATAACAGCATTGCTGTCCCAAATTGAAGTATCCTCTACAACAACAAGTTCAGTATCAGTAACATTTATTTTCATTTCAAAATTAGTTTGAGGCTTGGACACTTGACGATTCGGAGTCATGTGAGCTTTTTGTGCGGCTTCAGAGGTGCTCGCTTCAGATGAACCAGCTGAAATTGTTAAGAAATTGATGACCGAGCTGATAAACTCAAAAACACCCATTATTCTCATGTTATTAAAAAGAATGGTAAATCTTGTAAATTCATTTGTAATTCGATAATGCAGTTCAGCTTGAAGGGTTGACCCATTGTTTTCTTTTCGATTAGTTGGCTGCAAAACTTTTGTAAATACGTTGGGGCGACTATTCACAGGTGCATCTTTATATCTGATATCTAGAACTTGAATCATGTTGGACACTAAATCAATGTCACGACTACCATCAGAATAGGCTTCAAATGATAAACGAGATTTAATGAAATCAAATTTTGCCAATGAGCAATCCCCAGGCTTATTTACAATTCCGTCATTTCTGATGAGCTCTAATGACACATTCACTAAATCCATATTTATAGACATTGTTGTCCAAGCACTTTCTTCAGTGTCCATTAATACAAATTGCTCACTTTCTTTATAAGTATCATAAGTAAATTCTTCTAATGCTTCTCCTAAATTCTGATTAAGCACACCAAAAATGAGTCTATATTGTTTGTTATCAAGTGTAACATAAACTGAAGAAACAGTACCCTCAATAGCCCAATCCGGTGCTTGGTGACTAATGTAAGAATCTAAGTTTCTCTCAATTTGAACTTTAAGAGCAAATTTTTGCTGAAGCAAATCAGTTCCCTGTTTTCTAATTATAAAAGAAGGAAATAATAAATCCTTATCCTGAATTGAATCTCTTTTTTTATTGTGATTGCAGGGTATATGTACTGCTGAATACAAATCCATGTCTGATAGCTCAACATTAATGACATCTAATAAGCATTCAGAAATATTAGGGCGCTCAAGTATCATTGGGCTTTCTCGACTGGTTCCAACAGTGTACCTCTTCAGTCCGTGACTAATGTCCTTAATATTGGTGTCATTGGTATAAATACTTTGTCGATAATGACTTATAGTGCCTTTACTTCCAAACATAAGAAAAGTGTTGGAAACACTTATTCTGCCCAAATCGGCTACCAAAACATCAGTTAAAGTTGAGCTCTGTGGAATAACGATAACAGGAGATCCAGCAGTAATATCTAAAAGAACCCGAGTTCCTCTAGCATTAAAAGAGTCCATGTCAGCGCCTGATGCTGCAAGCTGTATCCTTTTAATCAATTCTTGCATTTCATTAAAATGGCGGAAAAATGTAGTAACTTCAGTTAGAAATCTTTGGGTGTGTACATATTGTACTGAGCTCATTTGGCACTTCACGCTAAGGTCATAATCTTTAGGAAGGCCAGAGTTTGTGTTGGAATATTTAAATACATGAAAATGCAGTGCTTCAGAACCTGTGGTAACAAATTTCTCAGGATATAAATATCCATGCGGAGATAAATCGCTTAAAGAAACATGCCCAAGAGTTCCATTTATTGTAAGTGTATTATTACGAACTGATGTATCACAAGTGAAATTTGAGATGTTTGCACTAGCAAGTTTATATTCTGGTTTATTTAAAACAACTGTTAAACTTTTCACTTTGAGTCTAATTTCAGAATTATGACTTTCAAGAGGCGGTTTTTGTTCATTCTTTTTTTCGCTGATTTTGCTACTCTTAAAATTAGTAACACCTTTCTCTGTTACTAGCTTATCCATTTCATTGTAAGAATCCAAGAAATCTAGAACCATTACCCAAGTTTGCAAGTTAAGAACTATATCCAAACTATTGAAATCAATGTCGATAAACCGACTGGTCTGATTGTATTTGGTAGCAAAAACAGGTGAGTTTTTATCAATTAATTTGACTTTAATAGAAACTAAAGCATCATGAAAATAGGGTGGTTTAAATTCAGAATTTGTAGGTGAAGGAGGGGGTGTTGATGGGTAACTATCTTCTAGTTTAGGTTTTGATCGTTGATAAGCATGGCTTCCTGATAATTTTCGAGATGAACTTAAATTAAACATGTTTTGAGTGCAAAGTTTGTCAGGGAGAGATGATGAAGAAGTGTTATAGAACATTGAAGAATAACAATCTGTTAAGCTAGGGCAAGAAACAGAAATAAAATTTGATTTTGTCATCACTTGGCAAGAACTGGGCTTACTTTGATTTACAGAACTCATGAGATAACAACTTCGGGATACATCCATGCACCTTAAATCTTCCATGAGAAAGGTCTGCAAAGTAACTTGAAGTGTTGCTTCATACTTTTCTTCAGCTTGATATTCTAACATAAACTCTTGGAATGTTAAACTGACAATGCCTTCTTCCCTATTGCACATATCACCTCTCAGTTCAGCTATAAGATCTGGCAACTCAAACGTCACCTTGATTGGCCTATGTGCTAGCTCATTCTGAGAAGGGTCATGCATCTCTGCAAGAGACAGGATTTTATCAGGAGAAAATGAACTAAGCATTGAAGAGACATCACTTTCAGCTGGAAATGAAAGATCTTCTATAAATGTTAAGTTATCTAGTACTTTCATCATTTTTTGAAACTGACGTTTAGTTAAAACCACACGTAAGGGGCTGACAACACGTCCTATGACTTCAAGCCTGGTTTCAAGATCATTTTGTTTACGCTTAATACTTTTAAATGTTTCGAGTAAGCCAGAAGGAATTTGTAAATTATCTTGGGATGGAGATTGTTCACTAGAATTCACAGCAATTTCCATGATTGTATCATGAACTATAAACTGGCTTTTGTCATCGCAGGCATAAAGATCTTTGATTGATAAGCTTGTGAGAAAGATTTCATGAGGATGTTTCTTAACTGATGGTAAAAAGCAGGCTTTTTGTTCTATGTTTACAAAATGAGCATTCATGTCACGTATTTCTATAAGAACAGTATTATCTTCACTTAATGAACCCAAAAGTGTGGAGAACTGCCTCTTATTCGGAAGTTCAGAAATTCCTCTTTGAATGGAAATCCGTCCAAGATGTGCAACAAGAACATCAGCACTTTGAGATGATGAAGGAAACGCAACAACTGGAGTCTGCAAAAGAATATCTAATTTTGTATCTACCACAAGATTTTCTTCTTCTGGGGCAAATATATCATCCAACGCATCCTCACCACTGCTTTCAAGACGAGTCCTAGAAACATTAAGATTTTCAGGCATTTTACCATGTATTGATGCACTAATAGAATCTGTCCTTTTTGAAACAATGCCCATTGCCACTTCAGTAGCAGCACTTTTAATAGAACTTGCCAAGGAACGCATGTATGATTTAAATTCTGTTGCACAAGAGGAAAGTTCATACAAAAGCCTTGGTGAATGAGTGTAACAAAGTGATGCCATACGTAATTTTATGTCCAAATAACCTTGTTTTATGTCATATTTCTTTATAGGAGAATCACTACTTCTGTTGTCCGCACAGTCACTTCTTCGAACTGAAAACGTTAATGCATGCTGTGGCTCTTCTAAACTAGTTAAATGGGTTAATGGCCTGTACATTTCTTGTTCCAGTTGATTTAAAATGTCCATTGGCTGTTCAGTTAATGGATCATAACCTATACTAATGATTTTTTGATGTTTTGTATTTTCTGTAACTAAATCCAGAACTTGAAGGCCACCTAATGAACCTTGAATATCAATCACAGATCCTAAAACGGTATTATAATAATCACAATCATATTTCAAATTCATTTAAATAAAAATCTGCATTTTTCATCTAAAAACCAAGTAATGGTAACTTCAAGTTATGCTACGCCATTTACAATATAGAATAGCTAGACTATAGAAAACTTACTGCTCAATTATGATAGAGAAGTTAAAATTATTTCCAGACCATGCACTTAGTAATAAAAATTAATTAATTGAAAAATAACTAAGGAAAATAATAAAGTTTCATGTGTAAATAACAGCAATAACTAATTTTCTTTTTGAAATAATAAGACTTTAAAATTAGTCTGTAATAACAATTTACAAGCTATGAAACTTAGTAAAAATTTAAAAAAATATATTATACAGTTCAGATTTTTTTTTTTAACAAAATGGAAATTTTACAGTGCATTTTAAAAACATTTATTTTATTTTAAAAAAGTGACCATTCAACTAGCTTAAATACTTTTTACACTATGACAAAATTATCCAAAAGATTTATATTTATGAGTAATTTGTTCATCAACTATTTCATAAAACAATAAATTAGATCAGATCTAAAATAAAGCTGATAGTTCTAGGAAAAAATAATTTTTTTTCACTGAAATGTTGTAAATTCGGGTCTAATACTAACTAAATCTTAACATCAAAAAATATAGTTACAAAATTTTATTTTACTTCACAAGATTAAGCAATTTTTTTAGAAAAACATTTTATAAAAGAGAATATATTTAAAATTGAGAGTGAAACTTTTGCAGTTTACCTATTGTGGCTTGAATTCTAGCAGCTGATATTGTCGCAGTAGCAACTTTTTGTCCCAGAGTACTCTGCCTGTGAGTCACAGCTCGTAAGAGGAGAATATTTAAACGATGAAAATCAAAAGTCACTTCTGTTCTTGATATATTATATCCTGAGGAAGTCTATAAAATATTAAATAGAAGTATTGTATAGGCATAATTATCAAATGAATAACATAGTAGATTCAAATATCCCTTACTTCATCATTTATTGGTTTATATAAACCTACTGTCGGTGACAGCTTCTCAGTAGTTGTCTTTCTGGTTCTTTCCAAAGCTATACGCTTCACAAAATCTATCAGTTCAACAATTGTTTCCTGGTTTGCTGTGTAAACACAATAAATAATTTTTTTTATGATTATGTCTAACAAAACAGGGGGAGCAAAAGTTACTTTTCAATATATGAAAATAATTCAACTGAAAATAACTTAGCATGGTCAAACAAATAGCAAATTCGAAAAAAATAATGATTTAGTCTTTGTCTGCCACGTTTTGGCGACCCACCATGAAGGATAAAGTAACCCAGAATGGTATAGATCCTAATGTAGAAAATTTTAAAATGGAAAAGACACCATTAAAAAATTAACACATTTATGTGTAGATCTTATTTCATTAATTACCTTATTTATTTTAATCATTCCAAAATCCCTCCAGTTTCTAACAGAGATTTATTGTATTTCCATCCACTTTTACCTTTTTTTATTATAAGAAGATGCAAGATGAATTATAAGATTAATGTTTTAAGACTTAAAGTTCTATTTGATAAACTAGCATTCACTTGAATAAATATTCTATTAAATATTCTATTTTCTTAGCGTTATCATCCGGTGGATTCCCAGCCAATGTGGCATTTACGGTAACGAGCAGGCGGACTTCCTTGCTCGAAAGGGCACTCAGTTGATTCAACCAAATTGCTCTGGACTCTCCTACCACTCCATAAAACTATATTTAAAATGCATAATGAAAATGAATATCTATTCTTGGCTAGGAGATAGTATGTAGAATAAGAACTGGAGTGTGGTAAATTTAGAGGCAATACCAGACAAGCCTTGCCAAGTTGCTGTAGCCATCATTTGTCTCCTAACAGGTCACGACTGCCTGGGAGAACACTTGCATGACTTACGTAAATATATGACTATCCTGATTGTCGATTAAGCGATTGTAAAGAACCTATGAACCGAAAACATCTCCATTGCTGTAGGTCACTCCACGGACTTGACTCCGAAACTGCTAAATATTGGTGTGTTAGAGAGCTTCTGGGGAAATGACTTTGGTCTTTCTTTCACTTCTAATGATTCCTTTTGATGTTTATTGTTCTTCTTTGTTGTATTTTATTGTTTTCCCTGTCATTGGAAATAAAAAAAATTATATTGTCTTAAAAATAAATAGGAAACAATAACAAACAAAGAGGTGGTAGGATAAGAGTTTTAAGTAACATGTTTGTGAATTTAAATAAATAAATTTTTCAATTTTACATGCTGACAAGAGATAAAGATTATTTTTTACCTTAACTTATAGTCTGAAAACTTAAAACTGCTGAAATTTATAAATACCTAGTACTTGTTTAAACTTTCACGTCATAGTATTCACAATTTTGACAGTTTTTTTAAGGAAACTTGTAGAAAATTTGTTGTCAAGTGCAATTGGAGCCCTCTTCCATTTCAAAAAACATTCAAGATCTATCACTTATTACATTCATTCTCAAAGACCTTGGAAATTTAATAATCTAGCAAAATAAATCAATGTTGAATAAATAGGATTTTCCCCTCGGAAATATCAGTTTTTTCAAAAACATCTTATATAAATCTTCTTGCCTTAAATTTTTCCAATTTGTATACATGAAGATGAATAACTTATCAATTTCTAAAATTTGATAACAAAAAATAATGAAAGTAATTTCAAAACACTTCATAAGATAATGATGAGTATAATAACAAAAAACCCTTCATATTGATACACTTATTTTATATAATTTAATCCTTATATCATTACTTATGCATATCATTACTTTATGTACATAATTTAAATGTATTTTAACAGTTAAACTGCTTCATTGAGGTTTTATAATTTTTTTTTCTTCAAGAAACAGTAAATGTTCAATCATATTTATAACCAGAACAGAAATTATTTAAAAATATAAAATACTTACCTATAATATCTAAGTTGTTAAATTGTATATTAGAAATCTGTAAAAGTTCTTGTTTGCCTGATTCGGATGGTGATTCAATCCAATTGAACTCCATTTTTATCAAAGCATCTGATGCATATTGCTCAGTTTTGGGAACACTTAGAGATGAAAACCATTTTTTGGAGTAATCAGCTATTTTAAAAATGAAATTTATGTTGACAAAATATATGCAAGATTTAAATACATTATAAAAACTTAGATTTAATATATAACAGCAGATATGCCAACATTCCCTGCTTTAGCTGGAATTTTATCTCAAATGTTCAAAGTGGTAGCATTATTGTGTTATAATATAATTTTTACATTTAAATAAAAATTATATTGACAACCAAAATATTTAAATAATTTATTGATTTATCACAAGATCTTATGAATAAGCTGAAAAGTTAATTTTAGTCCGGTGAAAGTTTAAAAACATTTGATTAATTAATTGTCATTTCATTATAACTTTTAATATCGTATAGAGGTAAAACTTCCGAGTTGGCAGGTAGGTAGAAAGTAAAGGTAAAAATATTTCTGGAAACCTAATTCTTCAGTTTTTTAAATGATGATTAAAAATGATGCATATATACAAACACTACTACTAATAATATGAAATACTACTAATGAAAAAAATATTTGTTTCATTAGTAGTACTTGGTAAATTTTGCTTGAACCTGTTACAAACCTGTTCTGGATGATTTCAGACTACTTAATGCAGCAGATAATACAGCAGGGGATGTTTGATCAGAAGTAGAGAAACTAGGTGAATTTATAGCATCAGGACTGCCAGGTGAGGCTGGAGAATTAGGTTCACTATCTCTTAAACTACCACTAGTGCTGTCCATGCTGGAAAAAATATTATCAATTAAATCAAATATAATTCAACTTAATGGCAAATCATCAAACAAAAAGGAAATTTCTTTAATGTTTTATTTTTTTGTCATAGTTGAAAATTCAAATTTAACCCATTGACTGTTCTGCTCATATAAAGTCGTATTTTAACCCGTAGATTTTCCCATTTTATTACCTAGCCATTGAAGAGAAACATTATAATTTTGCCCATTTACTAAACCACGAGTGGGTTAAAGAATAAAGAAAACAACAAAATATTTAAGAATTTTATAACGACATGAATATTATATATATGTTGCATAAAGGGTAATAACTTACTATCTGCTAAAAATTATGATTTAAACAAGGTTTTTAACAGCAGGAAAAATAAATTTTTTAAATTGTCATTTTTTTTTTAGTTTCTGTAAATACATTTGTTGGAGTAAAACTTTGAATGAGTACAACTTTGATAGTAAATATTATCATTCTTATTTCTGCATTTGTTACATTTTTGAACAGTAAAAAATCATGACCCACTACTTCATGGTTATGACCCAAAGAATTTTTTAATTTATAAACATGAGTAAAAAACTGAAAACTCTGTTAATAAAATTATCTATTATCATCAGGGGTCTGTCCAGACATTTTGTGAAAGGTCCGTTTTTCGTGAAATTGTGAAAAAACTACTCACATTATTTCAACTAGGGTCCGCTTTTATGAATTTGTGCAAATAGGGTCCGTTATTGCAACAAAAAAAAACTTTTTCAAGGAGTTTTTAAATTGTAAAGACATACAAGATTATGCTCAACACTGTAAAAGTTTAATTAAAAAAATTAAATTTTAAAAAATAAACAACAATTGCTGCTTCTAAATTAGAGATGCAACATACTTGTATTATTTTTTAAAATTATANCTTGATAACTGTGTGCACTCATTTTGCCTCTTTCAGCATTAGTTACATTTCTGTACCCAAAAAATCATGAGATATTATTTCATTGTAATGATCCAAATAATTTTTTAATTTCTAAATAGGAATAAAGAACTGACAACTCTGTTAATAAAATTATAAATTATTGTTATAAGGCACGACACGAAAAATCTTATCAAAAATAGAATTTATCAAGTTCATTGGACATAACATTATGTATACCATTTAGTACTGTATAACTTTGTCATTGGACTTGATAACTGCCTGAACTCAGTTAGGAAGTGATTTCACAAGATTTTGCAGGTACTTAGCATTTAATTTAAACCTTTTGCTCAGAATTTAAAAAGGAAAATTCGCTGATTGCAGGGATACCGGTTGTGGCATCTTTCTCTGCTGTAAGAAAAATAATTTCTAAATTTCAATTGTAGTATTAAAAATTACAGAGTATTTTTTAGCAAGATTATAGTTCCTACAGTATCTCTTAACTATCTAACCTGGTTTAATTGCGTAATGTTTCTAAAAAAAAACTTAAAAGACACATGCTTTACAAAAACCTTTACTAACTGTTGATTCAATGAATATACAACAAGCAAAAAGTACTACATCTCAACATCTGAAAATATTTACCTCAAATGCTTATGAGATGCTAACAACAGCTCAAAATCAGGACCATATGTCTGCAAGGCATCAACAAGGAGTAAACTATGAACACATAAACTAAGAGAAATATGATGTGGATGTTTGGAAACTGTTGTTCTTACACCAGTCACTTGTAGCTCTGCGACACTATGACCTATAAAAAAAATTTGGGAAAAAAACTAATACATAAAAGAGATGAAAATAATAAAAGAAAACAATAATTCCCTTTTTATTAAAAGATTAAATTTAATTTTATAAATTTTTGATAATTTTAATTTTAATATTATTTTATAAAATTTAATTAATTAAAAATTTTATAATAAAGTATTTTTAGAGATCTTACCTCTACTTTGGACATCAAAAGACATTTGATCGATGCAAAATTCCATTAGAAGAAGCAAAGAGCTTTCACAAACATCATGATGAGTATCCATTAATTCTTTTGAGGTACTACAAGAAATTTTATATTTACTTAAAATAATAATAAAGTACTGTTATTACTTTAATATTTTTGAAATATATATTTTTTTACTGTTGAAAGTAATGTTCAAAGTTTATCAATATTGCATATTTAATTATTTCTTCAACTCTTTTGAGTAATGACACATTTTTAACATATTAAATTTGTTAAAGAAATATTTCTAAATATTTAAGACAGATTGATTTAAATTGCAAATATTTGTTTACTAAATTGCACATATAAAAAAGAAATATATAAATTTCGACAATAATTATGTGACTTTTTTCGTAAACACAATAAAATATCAATATTTCGAATGAATAACAACACTTATGAAAAATGAAATAGAATCGTTATATGACTGACATTTAAATCAATAATAAATTGGTAAAGTTTTTAAAAAGATCTGAAATATTATGATCAAAGAAGTGAACACACATAAAATGAAATAGAATGGCTATATTATTGACATTTAAACCAATGATACATTGGTAAAGTTTTAAAAAGGCCTCAAATATTATGATCAAAGAAATGAACACACACAACTGCAATTAGGATTTTAAAAATAAAAAAAATTCTGCTCTTACACTGGATTGCATCATGATTTTTTCAGTACTAATAGAACACTGGTGTAATCACAAAAATTAAAATTTGCTTAAATTCTTAGTCATAACGACAAAGCCATCATTAGCATTAATGCAACACAGGATCCATACCCCCTGGTCAGCCCAGACCTTCAAATGTTTCTTACAGTTCTGTTCACCCTCTTTCTAAAAATTAATCGTAAGTTTTTTGTTTGGAGTACGGCAAGATCTTAATCCAGTACTTTTAACACTTTCTAGGTCTTACTCTTAATCTTCTACAGATAGGAGTCATAAGATCACCAATACTATTTGTTTTTAATTCATTTTAAAAAATGTCTAGATAGTTTTATTCTATTCAATTAAATTGGTTTCATAATGTCCCCAACAAATATAAATCTCATACAATTCAAAGTTGCATTTTTTTCCCTAGTAATTAACATCCAAAACAGAGCCAAAAATAACTCTAATAACTTTATCAAGAACTGTCAACGATTTTTTCTCAATTAACAGGATAACATTTTTGAAGATAGATTACAGATTTTATCTATACCTAGTGAAGTTGAATTTTTGTTTTACTTAGTAATAAATGAGATTGCAAATAATAAAAAATCAAAAATTTGCTGCGATAATTCTTTTCTAGAATTCATATTATCTGCTTTAGATTCAGAAGAGCTAGTTTCTACAAATCTAAAACTGCCAACAACTAAAGTAATAATTCTTTATCCACATTGTAAAATAATTCAAAATTTTTTAATGAATTATAAAACATTTATGCTAGTGTCACATTACATTAGTGCATTAAACATTTATGTTAATGCATTTACATTATGTCTTGGATTGTTATGTAAAACAACTAATACACAAGAACATAAAACAAAACTATCATTTTGATATCATGTCTAATAAAACGAATAATTTACAAGACTTATACTAAAATCATTTACTATTTATCTTAAACTAAACTATATATCAATATTGACACACAATTGTAAGATGAGATATTTATTTTTATTTTATTGAATGTTACTAAAATGGTTAACTTTTTATACAATTAGAGAATAGTTTGAGAATAATACTATTATTCTTAACTATTATTAACAATTAAATAGTTAACTTATTTTTTTTAAAAAATAAAGTTATCATGATCTTTATTTAAAAATAAAAATCTCACCCTTCTTTTCGTTCTTTATCATTCTTTGCCTCTTGATATTCAGGTGTTTCACAACATGTATTAATTGATGTTTTTGATGAGGAACTTAATGAATTAGAAATTAAAGCTGAATTCATAATATCAACACAAGATTGAAGTGCATTTACCTAAATGAGAATAAAATATTACAATAAAGTATTATAATAAAGTATTACAATAAAAATAACATGAAACGAATATAAAAGTATTTTGTTCAACAAAGTTGGATAAAAAAATCACAGTAATAACAATTCAGAGGTAAGAATATTAGACAATATTAGGTTGGAGTACATAAAATATTAGATTTTATATATATATGAGAATGTTTGTTCTCCTGATTCTTTTGTTTTTGGTATAACTTCGTTTATAGTCGTACTATCCATAACCTGAATCACATTTCATCAAAGAAGAATTTTTCAAAAGTGTGCTATTTTGCAGTTTGTTTTGAATTTTGGATGGAACATGAACTTTTGGATATGAATTCAACTGATGATTAAATAATTTTCTTTATTTGAGTATAAACTTGGTAATAATGCTGCAAAAGTTACATGCAACATAAACAAGGCGTTTGGAGGGAGAATACTATTAATGTTCGAAAAGTACAGTATCAGTTTGAAAAACCTAATTTTGGTGATTTTTCCTAACAAAACAAACCGTGTAGAAGATCAAACCTCTGTGAAAAATGATGCTCTGAAAGTATTAGGAAAAACGAATACAACTGTTATCTCCAAAAAATTGCTATTAGAATGAATGTTGTTTATAAAACAATATTGGGACACATTTTTGAAGTTGTCCAGGTGAAAATTGGATAAGTGAGTACTGTATGAACTAATAGAGCAAAATGAGCAGGTAGAGTTGAACGTTTGCTCATGATTGCTATCCCATTTTTCAATGAAATTTTGATTCACCAAGCATATTCATCACATCTTTTGCCAACCGGCTTTTATTTTTAAAACATTTAAAACAGTTTTAAAGAGATAAACAGTATAGAAATTAAGACAGTCTGAAAAATTAGACATCATAGTTTATTGATTTTAGTAATTAGAATTTCTCTAAAACAGGCATCTATGCATTGAAATCTCACTGGGAAAATTGTATTAGAGAAAAATGAAGCATTTTTCAATTAAATAGACAGTTTTGTACATATTCACTAAAAAATATGACATCTCATATAATACTCATATATTTCATATATCAAACTATAAGATAAAATGCTTTTAATAGATTAAAGTACTTTTTTTTTATATAAAACAAAAGAAAATTATTCAGTTAAAAAAATACTGATACGAAATAAATATTAAAATATTTTTTATATAAAAGTATATATTTAAGGTTACTTTAATAAATTATTCGAATAATGTAACAAAAAATTATAGATGTGCTGCACATAAATTGTTTGGTAAGCAACAAATGTGAATGTACTCAGCAAATTTAATGATTTTGGCACATCTTAAAATTTTAAATTACGATTTATGAAAATAAAAAAATCTTTTTTATATTTTTTAATTAAAAAAATTACAAGCACTATAAAATTCTAAAATGTGACTACAATTTCTATATTTTAGTGTGCAATATTATTGATGTCACTAGCAATTCAGAAACTTCTCTGTTTTAAATGTTTTCAGATATACATTGCATAAAGCATGTTTCAAAGAAAATGTTTACAAGTCAACATTTATAAATGTTTCAGCAAAAACTAAATATTTTGAAAATAATTAGATTTAACTTAAATTATTATTAAAATTAATGACTTATAAGTACCCTTTTAAAAACTGTTTACTATAAACTTACTTTTTGTTCACTTATATGAACTATAAGTTTCGGTAAATTCCCAGTCACAGCTAAACAAGGCCATTCTGGATCTTGAGTGTAAACCATTCGTCTAAGAAAATAATAAATTACAATAATAAACTCTTTAAAATGAGCACATAGCCATGAAACTATTATTTTTACATTGAAATTTTCATAGAAAAAATAAAATAAATTAAATCAATCTAATGATAATTATTTTAATATAATAATTAATAGTTATAAACATTCTTCAAATGGTCATACATTTTTGAAGCTTTAATTGAATTAGTATTACGTAAAACTGATAATGATGTAAGATGTTAAAAAAAGTATTTAACATACATGTTAATAAAAAATAGTGAAACATATATTATGAATAAAAAGATTGTGCAAAACATATTTAATCTATTTCTATTGGAAAATGTTTAAAAAATTACCTAAACTTTTGTATTGCAAATTTTTTATGATAAATTCATTAAATCTTTTCAGTTTATTGAAAAGTCATGAAACAATATTTATAGCTGCATTGTGATACAAAAAACGAGTACAAAATAAGTTAAATTATAATTTAGCATATATAGTTTAGTTAACATATAGTTTTATGCTAACTGAAGATAGTATGCTTTATCATTTTTGTTTGAAGATTGTCTGATCTTTATAAGCAATTTAAAAATTTTATCTTTTTTTTAAAGTCAATATTGGAATATCCTTTCATGATTATATTTTTAAGTAAACATTTTTGTCACGCATATTTTAAAAAAAAAAATGAAGAACTTACTATAAAATTTTAACGCACGAATAAACTGATTTTATAAGCTAATTGGATTAGAAATAAAAACAATATCAGCATGCTTGATGGCATTTTAGTGGTAAATTTGTAAAATATATAAGTGAAATTATTAGTGAATAAATATTGTTATCACTATTTTAAAACTATTATTTAGTTTGAAAGCAATATCAACAAGAATATTATTGCAACTGTAAAGGATTATGAAATGTGTTCATATGCAACATAATTAATATAACCTTCTGAATAATTAGAATTAGTATGCTTCTCTGAAAATAAAACATTGTAAAAAAACAAACCATATAGCACTTTTTTTATATACAATAAACTTCTGATTATCCTATATTCTTTCATTTGAGTCCTTGAATTTTTTCTTTTTTGCATAATATTGCTCATGAAAGTAATGTTTAACAAAATAGAGAGCAAGAAAAAGGTGCTTAAAATGAAAAATTAAAATCAGTTTTATCTCCTGATTATCTGGTTGCCTCACAGCCTGTGCTAATGCATCTTTATTTGAGAGGGTATGTTATATCATATTTATTTGAGAGCAAATACATCATATTTAGAGAGAACAATGTTAAATATTTTAAACTGGAGGAAACTTAGCACACTTAATATTTGTTTATAGTTTAGTTTTAATTTGAGACATTTTCATGTTTGGTTTATTCAGTAGTCGATTTATGTACACAACAAAAAGAAATTTGCTATCATAATTAAAAATATAGGATATATGGCAATTGTACAAAAAAATCACTTGTAAGCATTTTAATATATCGACCTTTCCTTTATGTACGTTCTTATTTGTTGGTTTTTGGAATTGTCTATAAAATTTATTTAGCTATGTGTTCTGCGTCAATCAGTTCTTAAGTTTATTTTTAAAAAAAAATTTTACAATTAAATAATAATAACAATAAAGAAATCTCTTAACGCGGTTTTTAAGAAGAAAACACGAAAATAAAAACTTACCTTTCCGTATGAATTGTGATAGAAAACCTATCCAGTATGTGCATTGTACTAGTTCCACGTAGCTGAGCGAATTTCCAGTTATCTTTCAGTCGACTAACTAGTACCTGGATATTGCTTAATTCTAAGGTGTACCTATCAAAAGATGGTTTTAATATGCTAACAAATATAATAAATTTAATTGGCTAAATAAATATAATAGGATTTAAAATGTAATAATTTCAAGTCAGAAAATAAAATTAACACATCTCCAAACAGAAAAAAAGTAATACATTCACAAAATGTTAAATAGGATTACTTCAGAGCATAGCAATTCTGGATTTGTTTTTATATTTATTCAATGTTTATTTAAATAATAAATAGAAGAAAGCATTTTTCTGTTTAACAACATTTAAAATAAACATTCAAAGAAATTTCCCAAGTATGTATCCCAGCAACAGATACAGGGCACTTATATTAAATAAATTTTGTATTTAACATAGTAACACATAGTCAACATAAAAATATATATAAAATATTCCTAATAGTAGATACTTTATGACTTAGAGTAACATTATCATAGGTTACCTAACTATGTGTTACTACAGTTTTCCTCTCATGTAAAGTAAAATTCAAATGTCCTCAAAAAATAATGTTAGTTGCATACTTCATAATTTTCTTTTTGTCTTGTTAAGAACAAAAGTTTTAAAAAGACAAAATAACAAAAACTGTATACCCACAGTCATTGTTCCTACTCAAATTCACACAAAAAAATTATCTGACTTTTCCGAGTATATCAGGTAAATTTCAATGAAAATCCAAATCAAATTTTATCTATATCATGCAATTTTGCATCAGAAAACGTTAATATTTTTATTTGTAATGCCAAGTATGAGATTTTGTCAGAAAAAAATCATTGAATGAGGATGGAAACATGTTAGTTTGACTAAAATGTGAAAATTTTACAACAAATAATTATAATAGATATTAGAATTATTTAACTTGAATATCTCGATAACTGATTACATTTACTGACAATTCTAAGATTAGTTATTTTCTAGACATGATATAAGAATTTAAAAGGTTATTTTGTACAAAATTGCAACTTTCCCTGACTATTCCCTGATTTTTGGAGTTAAAATAAAATTCCCTGGCAGGTTTTCCCTTTCCTGCCTGACCTGTGGGAGGCCTGCATAGTGTAGGTTTACAGTTTATTAATGCAAGTAGTAAAATAAAAATTTTTGTTGCAATTTCATTTATCAATTAGAAAACAGGTATTGGCTTAACAACTGATTTTTGCTTTTTTTTACAATAGCTGTGGAATATTTGTAATCACCATTAATTTTGTCGTGCAACATAAGTAACTCTACCCGTGGGAATACTACTAAAAAAGTTAAAGACAGGTAACTAAAAATAGTTACAGTTATAAGGCGTTTGCAACATTTTTTTAATGATCTAGTAGAAATTAATTGTAAAAGTAATCATGTTAATAGTTACTCATAAAAAAACTTTAAAGATTATCATAAAAAGTAAAAAAAGAAGAAAAGTAACTCATGTTCTAAGAAAACTACAATTATCATCGTAGTTTTCAAAAAATAGGCTATTTTCAGGAAGTGACAACAAGAAAAAAAAATTTCAGAAATTTTAATTTCCTGTAGTAAGATAGAAGATAAAAAAAAAAATAAATAAATAAATAAAATAAACGTAACAGGTCTGCTTAATATTTAAAAAAAAAATCAAAAGTTTTTATAAAAGTAAGTAAGGAAATGATAACATCGTGTGGAAGAATTATTTGAGTAATAAACATGCTTAAATTAATAATTTTCATAAATGTATTAAAGTATTAGTCAGTCCTGAACTGCTTTACAAAGTAACAAAGTGAAAAAAAAAATTTTTTTAACTAGTCTTTAAAAGGATTAGAATTAAGTATCAAAAGTGTCACTTTCTCACAGTGAGAGAATGAGAAAATAACATAATTTGCTTTTGAAGTTCATATCTATAAATGAGAATGAGTGTGACAGCTTAATTCCATTTCTATTTATACACTGAAAAACTTTCTCCGATTTACTGAAATTTTTGCAGTTTTTTCATAAGAACATAAGCATTGTTTTTACCCAAATAATGCCATAGATCTGAAACATTCTAAATCGCTATGAGTGACGGAATGACATGAATTATGAATTTCAAATTTTTGCTAAATAGAAATCCCAAATAGAGGACAAAAATTAATTTAACACAAAGAAACAATACTAAAAGTGTTAATTTTAAAAGATAACAGCTGAAATAGAGAATGATAGATATTTCAGTAAGAAATAAGTTTTTTTTTTCTTTTTTCTTTCTTTTCTTTTTTTTGTATTAGTAGGTGGTATAAGCTGTGAGTGAGGGAATAAGATTTTATGGATTTAAAAATTTATAAAAAAAATATTTATTTCAAATAATACTTCAAATTATAGATTGATCAAATAATTCATTCATTTTTCTGAAAAAATTGAAAAAGCCTTCATTCACATCCTTTTAGCCTATTCACAGAGAATTACCTATCAACTAAATGTCTTTTTTAACCATGATTAAAAATTAAGAAGTATTTATTAATATACCGTGAATTTATTTTTTTGTAATTGTTAAATAAAAATATGTAAATAAATACAATTGAGAAATAAAATAAAATCGACTTCAGAGTTACAGCTTCTTTCATTCAATAACAATAATAATAATTTAGATTAAGTATTTCAGAGCAGTATTGGAAAAACAAATATATTTACTTTTCATAAATATGTTCTTTCAGAGCCAGAGCATCTTTATGACTATCCATCAGTTCTTTTAACTTATTTGCTTTCTCAGCAAGTTCTATAAGTTCTTGGGGTGTAGAACAAGGAGTCAAGAAATCTTCTATTAAAAGAAAATAGCATATAAATAAATTAGAAACTAGCATTCAAAACTGAAACATTTATATTATGTTCGAAAAGTACAATTCAGGTAATTTCAGCTGTTAAAATCTCTAACAACTGTCTATATGTTGATCATATAATGATACACTCAGAATAATATTAATACTCAATATAAAAATAAAAATTTAAAGGTTTAAAAACTGATGGGCACAAAATTTTTTAACCAACACTGCACTTGTATAACATACTATTTGGGAAAAATTAGATTACTGTTTCTATGCTCAGTAGGGTTCATTTACAATTCTTGAGATGTAATTATTGAGAGAAAAAGATAGTACATATAATATTTCTTAGTTAAGTATTTTATATCTTTAAAAATTAGTGGGCTTCAGTTTTTTTTAACTTGAACAAATAGATTATATGTGATTGTTTTCACACAAAGCAGGCTTGATTTAATGTCTTTCAGAAGCATTTTATAGGAAAAAAAGACAATTTTATTAATTTGATTTACAGTTTTTATTTATTGGGAAAAAAATAGATAATATGTAGATAATTGTTTCTAAATTAAGTAGGCTTTTTTTACAACCTTTTGAAAGCCATTTAGGAATAGAAGATATTATTTGCGATTGTTTCTATGTTGAGTAGGCTTTGTTTATAATCCCTTATAATCAATTTAACTGTCGAAATTTAGAGATGAGAACATTTGCATAGTAGAAATGAAATTTAAATACACGAATAGCTAATTTCAGTTAAATTACATAGAATATGATTTTCTGTGATTTAAATAGTAAAGAACAAATATCATACTTCTTCTTTAGAAAAAAATCTTTGGTGTTAGCCATAAGCTCTTATAAAAGAAGTTTTAGCAAGTATGGGTAGAAAATATACTAAATTAGAAGAAGTATATGAAAAGCAGGTTGGTTAAATGTACAATGTGAAAAAAAAATAATAATCAAAACACCCTGATTCAGTTTTAATTTGATAATTGAATTTTCGCATACTGGAGACTTCATCTTATGGTTCAAGGGAGTGACCTCAAATATACAAACTAGATAGTGTAAACAATATCTTAAGTTGAAAAATCAGATGCTGAATAAACATGGCTTTTTCCGACGGATTTGGTTACTTGACCACCAAAATATAGGGAGTATACGCAATCTGGAAAATATGGTTCCAATAGTTTGGTAAGGAGAGAGTTTGAACCCCTTTACGTTAATGTAACTTTTCGCATATTTCGTCATATCTAAAGAATTTTTTTAAAGGAATTGAAACTTTTTTGCACACCATTATAAAACTGGTTTATCTAAAGATAAATCTATGCAAAAATATTTTTTTTCGTAATTAATTATTATTTTATTTAATAATAGTCTGAGCAGGAACTTGATGAAAACAAAAGACTTGAAACATAGAGGAATCCATTGTCTGAAACATGAAATTTTTTTTTAAGCTGCAATGTAATTTTTTTACATTGCAGACAAAATAAAAATTTTCAACGTTTAATAAATAATAAAATACTTATGTTACTTTAAATCTTAGTTTCACATTATATAAAACATATTAGTTGTGTTTATAAGTTTCAATTGTAAAGAAAAGAAGATACAAATCAAAACAAGGATAAATAACTCTATTGGTGTTATTTTCTCACTTTCACATTTTTAAATTCAATTACAGAAGAACAGTTTTTCAAGTTTCTTTAAATCCCCATGCATTTCATATTCTAATTAAGAACTATCAGAATTCAATTTAATAAATTATAATTAATACAAATTTAATGAAGAGCATCTTTAATTTTAAAACAATTTTTAAAAAAAATAATACATTCTTGAAAAACTAAAGTTAACCAATTTTTTTCCTTGAAAATGAATTTCAGTTTGAAAACTCAACTTTCAATTTCGTTTAAAAAAATAATCTAGTGCTAAAATCAATAAATAAATACTAATTTAGATATAAATCATTTCTTACCATCATCATCCATATCTTCAGAAATGGATGTTTCTTTACTAGATTCTTCTTTGCGTGCATTGAAAAAGTGCAATTTTCCCAGGTCAAAGACAACCTTTAAAGAAAAGAAAATTTAGTTCTTCAGAAAAAACTACTACAATAGCTAATGAAAAAATTACATAATTTTAAAAGTTAAGGGCTTTCTCTATGCAACCATGTGAAAACAGTCCTTAATTTTATGGGGGTAAACCACAATATTATATGTATATCTAAAGCAGTGGTTACCAAATTTATTTCGCTCTGAAACTCTAAATGATTGATCATCTTTCGGGGGGGGGGAACCTCGGGACTCATTTAATAAATTTATAAATATATAAAAACAGTTAATGATAAAAATTTTAAAATATTTAATGAATAAAAAAAAGTCATTTTTTTATCATATCAATACTATTATGTCCCACAGTTAGCTAGTCGCACAATAAACGCTGAGAATAGTCATTAGAAATGTACACCATATATTTTATTTTGGTTGAATTTGGTTATTTTTAATTTCATTCAAAATACTAATAAAAGTTTTCATAAATGGTCTTAATTTATTCAACGTTTTGTTATTAGAATTTTTCTAATTTGGCTTTTCTTTCTACACAAGCATTTTAAACAAATAATTTCCTAAAAATTACAAAAATGCTAAATAAATAATGAGTAATTAATTGGATATAAATTTAGTTACAGGTTTCGAAGATCATAAATGATAATCAGGGATGAGAGTAGTCAAAAAGTGAAAAAGAGGAAATCCAAGAAAATATATATACAGTACAGAACCAGTNTTAATTGAATGAGCAAATAAATATTTTCACCGCAAATCCACCTCATTTTTTTTTTTTTCAGTTTGCTTTCATGCTAAAAAACTGGAAGCAGCAACGTCTGAATTACGAAAATACGAGCTATCAGGCGACGGATAAAAATACGGAAAATCTTATTTTCCGTGCGTAAAATCGGGGAAAATAGCTAAAATAAGTAAAAGGTGGAAGGGTTAGCAGCTAGGACGTAGTTTGAATATTCTGTTTATCTTTGAAAATCGTAAATAAGTATTATTGTTTTATCTCAATGACTGAATTTTCACAAAAAAAGCGGAATATTTATTAAAAAAAAAAAAAAAAAAAAACTTTTAGGGAATCAGAGTTTTTGATAAAAAGGGTGAAATTCGAGAGACAAAAGCAAAAATTCTCTAAATAGTGGAAAAATCTCATCCCTGATTACAAAGGTCAACCAGTTTTATCCCAAGGAAATGATTTTTAGGGAAACTTCAGAGGGAGGAATGAGGGCTTCAATACTCTCGCTCTGCGGAAAATTTAATTCCTCAAAATATTTTAACTTGTGCACAAAAAAAAATTTCCGCGGAAATTAGCGGGAGAAATGGAAAAATCTGAAAAAAAAGCGGAAATCCGCGAAAGAATCACATCCCTGGATAATAAAAAAAAAAAGTCTTAACTCTTGGACCCCTGTGATCCTTCCACTAAACACAAATTAGGAACCGCTGATCTAAAAAGTCAGTATCTTTGAAGAGTTGTGAGAAAAAAAACGATTTTACAGGTATGTATGAAAACTTTGCACAGCTATTGACTTTTAAAACGAGAAAATGTAATTTTTATTCATAAATATAGTAATTTCAACAAATCATTACGAGCATTTGGAGCAATTAGGAGCATTTGCTCATTCAATTAGGAGCATTTGCTCAGCTTTTTCTCAGTTATTTTAAAAAGTGACAAATAATTAATTTTTCTTTGAAATTTCTATAAATTAAAAGAATGAAGTTAATTTGTATACGTAATATTTCACATAAATTACAAACTAGAAAGACACAAAGCTAATGATTTTAAGAAAATACATCAGTTCCCTACCACAGAAGAATTACTATCCAGAATGTCAATTGGAATTATAATTTGAGGTGCAGATATTGCCAGTTCAACAATCCATCCTTTAGAATAAATCTAAAGAAATATATAAAACAAAATCATATATATGTATACATCTAGAATATTATGAATTTAAATCAGTGCAGAATTAAATAAAAAATATTGAATAGTCTATATTTTTGTAAATGAGTAAAGGATTTTTTGAACTCTATAATATTAAAGTGGGATTTCAGTTTTCATACCTTCTGCATTATGGGTATGAAAAGAAACTAGTAAAAACAAAAAATATCATTGACAATTAGCATCCTAAACAGCGAGAACCTTTGTTGTAAAAATCTGACTTTCAGTGTAGTTCAGAACCTCTCTTTTGTATATAAAAAATAAATAAAATTATATAAATAGATTTTAAAAAAATATGAGAAAAACTAAATTATAGAATTTTTTCTATATTAATCGCCGAATGATATTTTTAAAAATTTATTTCACCTTTAATATTTTATTGAAATTTACTTATACACTATAATACTTGTAGACATTATATCGAAATACCAATTCTTTAGAACTAAGAACTAATAAATAAAAATAGTTGTATGTCACAGAGTTTTTGAAAAATACAAATGTAAGCAAATCTAGTGCTTTCACCACACTATTTTCAGAAAGAAAATTGAGATGTCTACATGCCTTTCCACTTTAAATTTTATAGACTAAAAATGCCTTTTTTCTATACGAAATAGTCTCTTTACTGCCACATGTATCATATAGTACTTTTTTTTTATTCATTTACTATATTTCCTTTACTTTTATTCCCTTACTTGTATATAATCACTTTTGTATGACATATAAGTTTGAATTTTGGACAAACTTTTGAGGAGAAAACTTAAACTGGATGGACTATATTCAGAAATATAGAACAACAGTTCCTTTGACTAATTTTGGTACTCACAGTTTTATCCTCTCCTTCTAAAATCTGATCCCATTTGTGCTGCAACTCAGCTTTTGTTTGTTCTTTTAAAGTTTCATACCTGGCACGTGCAGCAGCTGTAATTTTTAGTTCACTTAATGAAAATTCTTTTGATGATTTACCATGCTGAAGACAAAAGAAATCTGTAATACTCTTTAATACCAAAGGATTGTAAACAACATCCAAAGCTCTAGTAGTAACATTCAACCTAAAGAAAAATTCAAATAAATTTTATTACAAGTAAATACGATCAGGAAAAAGTGCTGTTTATAAAATACTATTTCTTTTCAAAATATGGTTAAATCATATTATGCCTGTTTATATATTTTTAATGCAAATAGGACAAAATTTATAAAGTTTTGTAAATATAGATCACAGACAAGAGTTAGAAAATCATGACATTTTCTACTTTATTAGTTAACTAGCTCAACCCCAATTTGGTAGGAGAAAAAAAAGCTTAAAAATTAATATTTTTTAATTGAAACTACACAATCATGAATATAACAGTAAAACATATGAAAGCACTGTTAAATTTTTTAATTAGTTTATTAATTTAATGTTCTTATTTTTAATTGTTACAATACAACTAAACTTTAAAAAATTAACTAATTAGGCATTAAAAATCATGCTTTTGTTTACAAAGGTCGACATTTGATAGACACGATTTATCATAACCAAGCAATTTTCTTGATGCGTTGGCTCTTAAGTACATTATTACTTATTTTTTTTATTATAATATTAATCACTGCTGACTTAACATTATCAATGTTCATAGATAAATATTTTCATTGCAAAATAAATATAGGGTTTCAGAGAGCTTTTCTCAGAATCTATCAAACACCAGTAAAACACTGAATCTATTACATTTTACTTATCATTACATTTAAATATCAATCTGACATAATAAAAAAAGAAAATTATTAATGAACTTGCAAACTCCAAATTAAGCTTGTTTTAGATGAATTATAGCTATAAAGTTACAAACATCACTGATGTTATTTTTTAAATGCTGAAAAAAAAAGTAAAGGTCAGAAGTTAAACGTTCAACAATGCTTAATCTCATAACTATGCTGAATATGTATTAAATAATAATCAAATTATTAATTGTGACAATTTTCTATTAGACTTTAGATTCGATCAAATAATTAAAATACATTAACTTATTTTAATGAAATGTAACTAGACATAAAAAATATATTATGCTGAAAATTAAAGACAACTTTTTAAAATATGAATTAAAAATTGAAAACCAAAAAAAAAATCATGAGAAAAAAAATTTATAACTGAAATTAAAAGTACTAAAAGAGTTTACTGCATCATACCTATGGTCAGCATGGGCAATGAAAGGCTTTTTTTCATAGCTCAATTCAAACAAATAATTACTTGAAGGATCTTCATCTTCTGATTTTTGGTTTAAAAATGAAGGTAATGAGAAAACTTTGACTTCCGGCGATTTAGAGTACATAAAACTTACATCCTAGAGGAGGAGAGGAAAAATAGATATTTTTAATATTTAAAAACATGCAATAAACAAAGTGATGCTTACAAATCCATTTTTATATTCTATAAAAAAATAGTAAAATGATTACTATATGTCTTAAGCTAGCATATTTCTTTCTTAAATAATCAAAAGATACTTTGAAATTAAACAAAGAGGTTTTGTAATCATTTGAACTCTAAAAAGAAATTTGAATATAAAGTTAAAAGCAATCTTACAATATTAAAATTTTTGAACTTATAATTTTTAACACAGAAATACACTAGAAAATTCTTTTCTTTAAACCTGAAAAGTTAAACCTACAAAATCAGCCTTTTAATAGTTAAACCACTTTTGAACTAACTGCATTATTTATGTGCCCAACACATATTTTCAGTTTTCCTACATTCTATTTTTTAATGCAAAATGGGCATTATAATAGTTCAAACCTGGCTAATTCAATTTTGATTAATGACAAAAAAGAAACATAAAATGTATGATTATATGATCATTAATCATCAGTAATGTCCACTGAAATGAATCAATTTAGTGAAATTCTATTTAGTTGATTATCATTCAATTATCAGTTGTATCAAACTAAATGAAATTAATTAAATTGTTTTAAAACTAATTTCTACACATTATTTCATTTTGGATATAAACTTTTTATTTCATTGCTTTCAAAGATTGGTGAGAAAAAAATTAGGAAGAAAATGAAATTTACAGTGCAAGGAGCTGTCCACAAAGGTTCAATTGAAATAAGAAAATACAAATTGATGAAAATGTTTAAAAATGATGTTCTCCACAATAATTCTTGATGAATTCATTTCAATTTGAAAAATGAATAAAGGCACAGATAATATTGCACATTGCCTCTAAATAGTGAATATGTGATCTTTATACCTTTTTTATTAATTGAAAAGCAATTCCTTTGCTGAAATGTATCCAAGTGTAAAGATATATTACAACTGATTTGTCCATTTGGGTTACGTGTGTTTTGGCATGGTAATTTAAAAGCATAAAAGTGGTGTTTTATGCATATTTGTGATACAAAATGAGAAACAAGCAATAATGTTAAAAATTTTAAAAATCATTTTTCAGCTAATTAGCTACTCGAGCCATTAAGATTGAGACCTAGAACGTGAAAACCTGATCACTACATCAAAAGTTATTCATTGTGTCCATTTTTTTTTGCCGCACTGTACATCTCTAACATATGTATATTTAAAATACAAAGGTCCTGCAAAATTTACAATTATTAAGTGAACAAAACTTATAAATGACATTATTATGAATGATAATTAAATGTAAAAAATATGGTTAGGTAAAGTTGTTACAAATTAGTTACAGAAGAATAAAAGTGAAAACCTACTCGATTTTGTGGTGCAATTATATGTGGAAAATGAGGATCAGTATTGATTCTGTCATGTAAGTATAATGCTCCAAGTTTGATTTCAAAAAGAAAAGATCCAGTTCTGGGCCTTGTTTCTAATTTTGTTGATACATCTGAAAATTCTAATTCCATAATTGATTTAGTATGTTTGTGTTTCTTGTGCCCTTGCTTGAATGGAAATTCACTCTGAAGAAGTATGACTGATCCTTGAGAAAGGGAAAAATTTAACTGAGCAAACACTGTGTCTCTTTTGAGAAGCGAGTCATTATCAGCACTGTCCAGTACATCCAATATTTCTTCCTCTGCAAAAAAGTTTTAGAGGTGAGAAAAAACTTAGAATTACTTTAAAGTAGAGGTCGCATATAAAATAAGGAAAGGTCAGCTATGACTTTAAAAGTTATGGGTTTCCATATTTTTAGGTATCTTTTTATCAAAAGCAATTTTATATTTAAAATACGAATCTTTACCCATTCCTATTTATCCATAAATTAATATTCAAGTTTATTAATATTTAGTTTATTGACAGACAAAGCAAGTAGTTATATTTGAACAATCAAGGCTTTTCATGAAAACTGATCAAACATCTGCATCAAGGAAATGAAAATAAGTAACTTGATACTCACAATATTCAAATTTTCTTCAGCTATAAATAAAAAACAAATAAAAAGAATTTATACTATATATTTAGTGTAAATTCTTTTTATTTGTTTTTTATAAATAGATTTTTTATGTGTATATATATAGAGACAGAGATTTTAAAATTCGTTAAAATTTAACCTACATAATCCTTCTAGCAGAGTTTTTTTCTACTTCTGAAGAATTATGCACCCTAAAGACGAATCATAACTTTTCAAGTTCTGTCTACGATTTTTGGCATATTTGACGCATAATAGCATGTAAGCAGAGTCACTGAGAGGTGTTTAGAGATCCACAATGTGTGAGATATTAGTCGTAAAGCAAAAAAAAAAAAAAAAAAACTGCACACATGCTTGGCAAATTATGTAATTCAATTTCCAAATAAAAAGGCAATTTGTTGCTGAAATTTAGAATTATAAGCATAATGTAAGTAATAAATGAATATATATTTGTTCACTAAAATCATAAATTACAACTTTTTTATTTATGGAAAGCAAAATTTATTATTTGCAAAGCGGTTCAATCTAAATGCCATCCTGATGTAAATGTATTGGAAGCACAAAATTATCCCTATAAATAATGCTGTATTAGATGTTTTTTTAATTGAAACTACAAATTCAACAGAGCATGCATGTCAATTCTTTTAGCTACAATCCATTTAATACATCAAATGTGGAGATTAAACACATTACACATTTCCTTGTGCACCCTATACATACACCCTGCACTTTTTAACGGGCCAGCCTGAGCCTTATTTGAAATAAAAGAATATTTAACCTTTCTTTTTATAAGAAACAATAATTATAAGCATAAAAATCTATCACTATTTTAGTATAATGCTAATTTTAAAAAAGATACAATAGAAAAAGTTGAACAATCTCACCTAAATGGCTCTTCAATTCATCCTCTGCAGACTTACATATGATTTCAGATTTTACGTCACTAGCAGCCAGTGAAGCAGAATCTGCAGCAGGTCCTGAATACCACCCTCCCCAGGAAGGAAACATCCACTGAAGGAAACCTTTACCTTTTGACTCGTCATCACTTATCTAAAAAAATCAAACACTTCTGTCATTAATAATATATAAAAAAAAAAAATCTAAATTGCACAATCTTTATATATTTTTGAAATCCCTATATACATATGAGTCGTTATATTTATATTTATGCACAATCTTTATACATTTTCAATTGCCTTAACACTTGTTATTAACACCAGTTCTCAAAAAATTTAAAAATCTTTATTTGCCCTGCTGGACATATTAGTCACTAAAATGCATGTTCACATGCACAAACATATATTTTTTAAAAATACATACTAATGAAAACATATGAATGTAACAACTATTTATTTAGAGAAACTTATTATTCCATGATCCTTATCACTTACCAGGAGGATAAACAGTAAAAGGAAATATGAATATTAAGTAGAATCTAATTTTTAACAAACTTAGCATTTAAAATAAATAATTTGAGCTGACATAGTTGAATTTCTTTAAACATTTAAACCAAATGTTAAGTTAAGAGTTAATAATAAGATATCACACTCACTTCTAATTTTTTATATTTTTATTACTTTTTTATACATAGCAGTTTTTGTAAATTTTATCTAAATAAAAATAATCAAGAATAGAAAAATATAAAAAAACATATAATATGCAAAATATTTAATATATTTTGCATAAAATATTATTTTATTTCCGTTTTGATTTTATATCCAAATTTGGAAGAGGTTTTATCAACATTTTAGAGTATTTTTGATTAAATATTTACTTGCCTGGGCAATCATGCAAGGGTAAAAAGTATATGCCTGTTTAAAATTTTTTACATGACCAGGGCAGTTTGTTCAATGCAATTCTCGAACATTGGTTGAAACTGACCAAAAGGTCACCAGGTGAATGTGAAATTCCAAAATATACCAGCCAGAGTTTTTGAAAGTAATAAATTTTGACACATTTTCTATGAAAAAATTTTTTTGTTACCTTTGAGAATAAAAATTCTTTTGAAAGTTTTAGGACAAAAAATAACTTACTTCAATACTGTTCTTTCGTTCAAGTCTTCTTGTAACAAGCTCTCTCAAAAGAAGAATGAGATCAAGATTTAATTTCTTCTCTAAATCAATGAAAGGCTTTTTTTNTACTTTGGATTCAGCTGTTAGATCTGTCTTGTTCAAAAACTCTTGATAAACTTTACTGTAGCTAGCAATATCATGGGCTCTTTCCAATGCAAATGCCCAGGTGTAAACTTTATTTTTGTCAGAAATCGGTTGTAGATGAACAGAGATTGCATATGACCACCATTTTTGAGCACTGAAAGTATTTAAGGGATAGTATTTCAATTGTTGTTGACCGAATTTAGAAAGAGTAAAAAGAGCTTTTTCAATGGGAGCACAAAAAGGCATAATTTATAACAAACATTTTGAAACTGGCAACTTATTCATACAATCAAATAATTCAATTGAGGAATATAAGAAAATAACCCAATTCAAATCTATCACACATTTTAAAAATATCATTATTTTAAAAAAAAGTTAGAAAACCATATCATGTTAAAGCTCCTATGTGTTTTTTCTTCCTTGTAGTACAGGATTTATATACAAATTATGAGAATTTAACAAATTAAAACAAAAAATACTTCATAACAAAATATTCACTTATTATAACAATACAAAATAGAAAAAATGAAAAAGATTTATTCACTTTTTTCTAGTTATAAAATTTGGTAAAATAAATAAACGTATTATTTTAAGTGTAATTACAACTCGCAAAGGTAGATGAACATATCATATTATCATAATGATTTATTTACCACAATAAAATTATATTACTGTAAAATAAACTTCAGATAATTCAGATAGTAAATTATCATAAAATAATTTCAAATAGTATGAATCTCTTACTTCTGAACAAACACACAGTAGATAGAAACACAACAATTTATATATTAATTATATTTAATTAGAATTGTATATCTTAGTAGAAAAATATACAATTCTAATTTAATTAGTAGTTAACAATGCCAAATTAAAGTAATTCAAATTTCATATCACTAAAGACAGAAACAGAAATAAAGAACTTAGTACACCTTCATAATAATAATAATAATAAATCTAAGTTCAGAGAACTAGAATAGTTCGTCAGATATAAGTATAGCAGTTTATTTGTAATCAAAATTTTTAAATGGAAATGCAAAGCACTCCAAAACTAACTACATCAAAGACTTCATTTAAACAACCGTAAATAAAACCAAATTTGATGTTCTTTAGCATAGTCAATTAAAACCATAGATTAAAAAAAATGTGACACAATCAGAAAGAAACCAACTTAATGAAACATAATAGATACTTAAACTTGAACCTAGTTACAAGCAAATGTAATGATGCTATGTGGTGCATATTACAAGTTGTACTTCTAAATTACAATATCGCCAAAATATATTTTTATGAATACATAATGGGCGACCTTTTTTTTATATTTTTATGATTCATAATGTGGCATTCAAGTGAAATAATTTAAGGATTTAATTTTCAATTGAATACATACTATACGAATACATATACACCACAATTCTTTGGGTGCAGAATTAATGGTAAAAATTATAACAAAAAGAAAATTCGTTACTTTTCTTTAACTGTAACTGTTGGTCTCCATTTTCTATGCTTCCATCGGATGTCCAGAACTTCTAGCTCTTTTAAACACATCATCATTTGTCTATATTGCACCTAAAATAGATGTACACAAATCAGATGAAATTTTTTTATATTTATTCAAATCCATTTAAAACAAATTAGATAGAATTAAATAATTTCAAATCGAGTTTTTTATTTCAATTGTCAAATAAATATTAAAGTTTTTTTTAATTGTAATAAATTACCAAATTGCAAAAAAAAATAATAATAATAATATCATAAAAATATATTCTAATGACCTGTTGACAACAAAACCTTTTGAAAGATAGGCTCTTTAATAAATTTCTACCAAAAAATATAGAAATGGCAAATGAAATTGTAAAACATTTCTGACAATACAAAACAAAATAATCTTGCATAAAATATGATACGAATAAAGTTACAAGCCATACTAAATAATTAAGCTTACTAACCTCACTTAATGTCAAAGAAATCTTCTCTAAATGTATATCACATACAATTCTAGGTGTAAATCGTGAGCGTAGTGGTCTTGGCGAACAATTTCTAGTTAAATGGCCTTTAACATTCACAGGAGAAATAATGTATTCATGTGTTTTATCATGGGATGGGTCCAAATGTTTGGCCATCGCTTTCTGAAATGAAGAATTATAACACTTTACAAAAGTTGGAATATCAATATGGCGAAACATTATAAGAAATGTTTATAAAACTTCATGAGTTTTTCGAAGAATTCAAGAAATAAAATGGTGATTTCTTTTTTAAAACCTTACAGTGCATAAAAATTTCATGGAGTAATTCAAAACAAATTTTTTTATTAATAAATGAAAAAAATGCTATGATCTATCCAAATTTGAAATTAAAATCCTTCCCACTAAATGAGCTATTATACCATCTCGGCTACTGTTTGAGAATTAAAAATATTTTTGAAATCATTTTTTTAAAAAAAAAGAAAATAAATAAATAAAAATAAGTAAATAAATAAAACTGAGGGATTTCTTGTAAGTAACATATTATACACTTACTCTTTGACCAGAGAACTCTTTTTATCCTATATAGTAACAAATATGTTGTCATGTAATTATACGGTAAAAACATATTTTTAAAAAAATAAATAACAAAGATATGTACAAAGGTTACAAAGTGATTTAACTCTTAAGCTTAAAAACATAAAATTATGCATTTATTATTAGTTATAGTAAAAATATTTGAAATTTTCTCATTAGAATGAATAACAAGTAATTTATCAATTTTGGTTTGCTTTGCATTTAAAATTGGTACCTCTTAAAAATACAAAGATCTATAGGAAAATATATTTCTCTAAATATCTTTTCAGATTGGACTTCTTAAATAATTAAACAAATAATATAAACATTTAAATGTACTTGTTCTAAATTCTAACTAAGAAATTTCTAACTTCAATTTTTATTATTTACACCAGTAAAATTTAATGTGGTTTACGGAGAATTGTGGTATGTAGAATTGCATTATAAAAGATCTTTTAAAGCATTTGAAATATTGAAGAAGAAAAAAACCCACATACATTGGTCTGATACATTTGTTTCCCGAACACAGCATAGTTTTCTATTTTTAATGTGATTATTAAAAATATTTTTCTAAACTATTAATTTAAAAAAAAAGCATATAGTATCAAAAAAATTAGGAACAACCACATCATTGATGCAAAAGTAGTAAAATTGAAATAGTTATTTAAGTACATTTTCCATAAATTACTTAGAAGAAAGAAAACTTAAATAATCTTACCATCATACTCTGAGAATCTAAATTATACAAAATGTCACAGTTAGTGTCCAAATAGAAAGAAAATCCTTGAAGTTCCAATAGTTTCCACATAGAGTCATTGTTTTCTCTTCTTACAAATTTTGGTATCTGAAAAAAAAGTGTTAAAATATACAGAAAACTGAAAAGTTAAGGAAACTATAATAAAAAATATTTGTGCAAAATTTATTCAATAAGTACAATAATAGAATTTATAACAAAACAATTCTATAAAAATAGGTTAGAAATTCAAATGTCATTTAAACAATAGTATATTTTAAACATAATTTTTTTCTAAAACAATAAATTTCAAAATTGTCAAATTTTTCTTGTTTTGTTAATGCTTACCCAATGCTGATCAGTACTTTGAGCAGACAAGCTGCGAATTAAAATTCCACAGGCAAATTTTTGAGTAGAGCGACTATAATCATCTTCATAGCGAATGTGAACATCTTTAATTTTCAACTAAAAAATTTGAATTAATTTAAGTATTAATAATTTCAAAAAAAAAACTATATAGTTAACCTTAATCTTTGGGTAAAAACCGATACACTGTTGTATCGGTATACCTGTGTATACCAGAATAACAGGCATGTTAAGCACAACATAAGCAAAATGTTAAAAAAAAAACATTTTTAGCTTAGATACATCATTACCATTTTCAAACTTAAAAAAAACTTTGTCTAAAAGTGTTATTATTATGCATTATACTTGTAACTCTAAATGTAGAATACGATGAGAACACCAAAGTACTGTAGGGAACCGATTATCCAGAACGATCGGGATCATCGCTATTCAGGATGACTGATTTTTCTGGTTTTCTGAATTGCTACAAAAAGCCGTTTTTTTATTGTTAAACCCAACTAAAAAAAAAAAAATTTGGAAATAATCTTAAAAAGAAGAAAAAACGATGAAGTAATACACTAATGATTATTTCCAAAATGATGGTAAGGTAAACATCTTTCAAAAAAGAAAGAAAAATCCTAAAAACTTATGAGGAAAAAAAAACATTTTTTTTTAAAAATGGCGGGAAAATTTATCGAATTTCGTTCTGGATTTTTGGTTTTCCGGTTTTCTGATTTCCGGATAACGGGTTCTGTACTGTATTGGGAAAAATTTGTTTTCGTAGAAAGGTACAGTATGTTCCTTTTTCTGTATTTTTCTTAAAAATATAGATATAAGATTTATAATTACTTTTGCTATAATTATGATAAATACATAGTTTCAATAAACATACTTTACATTACAGAAGTCACACTTTGACATTCTTGCACAGATTTTGAAATAGTGTTGAAAAGAAAGAATGCTATAAGCAGGCATTTTATTGTGACCTGACAGTTTCATGCAAAATCGTTGATTGTGTCACACTTTCGTCGCTAGAGGGCTAGTGTAGTCCTAACATGCTTTAAGATCATTGTTTCATGTGCATCACAACGTTATTAACAAAGCTTAATCTGTAATGATGATATTTTATCCAAATGACAAGGAGTAATTCCAACAGGATAAAACATTCTACTATACTAATGGTATTGTAAAGGATTGGTTTGAGATGCATGACCAGTGATTCCAATAGATTTTGAAAGCTAGAGACGTTTAAGACACACAATACTTTCAAATTTCTGAGTTCTCTCTATATAAAAGCGGGTCCCTATTTAAAAAAATTAATTAAAATAAAGATAAAAAAATATATATTTAATGATTACAAGAAAATATGGATGGTAATTCAGGGCGAGTAGCCAAATCTTTGAATCAAAAATAAGCACTTTTAAAAAACTTTTCAAGCACTTTACAAAAATTTTCAAGCACTCAAAAGATTCATATTCAATCAATGATATTATTGAAAAACAAAAACTTTTTATAAACAGTTTTAGCGTTAAAAAAAACCCAAAAAGAAACGGGCGTAAATCGAAACAATCAGTACTTTCCCACATCACCGAGTGAATTCAACTTGACCCTGAACTCAGAACAAAAGTACCCTTACCCCCTACGTCAAAAAAAGTGTTAGAAGTAAAATAAAATAAACAAGAACAAAATTAAAATAAATTAAAAAGAAAAACATTTCATAAGGATCTGATATTCTCTATCCGAATTGGAGCACTCGGGTTTCGGTTTCAAGTGTGCGCGCATGCGCAAGTCATAACGTGGGTACGACATGAAGTCCGCGTGAATGATTACGTAGCAAACTCCCCATTTTTCGTGAAATGCATGGGATCCACCAGATATCACTGAAGGGAAAAAAAAATATTCAGAAAAAAAGCACTTTTTAAAAACGCCAGCTGAAAAAAGCACCTTTAAAAGCTTTTAAAAACGAAATCCCCAAAAAAGCACCTTTAAGTACTTTTTACAAACGCTACGCACCCTGTAATTGATTCGGTAACAATAATTTAAAAAAGAACTCATTTTCACCTTCTGTTATTGATACGGAAGAATTTTTTTTTTTTAAAAATTCAGCTAAATTTTGACAATATAAATCTGCTGGGTGCAATTTTTTTTGTTGGTGGAGAATAAGGCTTCCATGGCAAACATTTTGTTAAAAAATTTTTGCAGCCCCCCCCCCAATGATTTTCAGCATATTTTACACGCTATTATAGCTGGTTGGTAAAATCACTGCTTCACTTTGTTGCATTGGCCCCCACAATATCAAAATATCAATCCTATTAGGTATTTGTGGCATGAAGTTTAAAGAGCCATCCACATCCATCCAGTCTCACTCTATTAAAATGCGAAAAAGAATCGAGAATGCATTTTTAAAAAAAGATCAAACAAGACATTGAAAGGATAGGCATAATAAAGTGGCTCCTCATTGTACATTAATAAGCAAAATCTGTGCTTAACTTTATTGCAATAAAAACATGGCTGAATAATAGATAAAATATGGAAGAATGTTTATTATTACACTGGAGAATGTCAAAGAATGAATGTCAGTCATTAAAATTAGAATGAATGTTGTATTATCTTTCTGAATGTCTGCAATATCGTTGTTGCCATCAGAACTTTCAAAATAAGGCCTTTTTTTCAAAGGCTATGCAAAATAAATATATTTACAAATAAAATGAAGTAGTATATGGAAACATGAAAAACTTAAAGAGTTTTTTCTAGTTACAAATCCCTTTCATCTATTTATACACTCAATTCCTAATTCTAGCAACAACTTAAATCAGAATGTATTAAAAATTTGAAAATAAAACTACGCTGATATGAATTACACTGGTAGTATTATTAGCTTTCAATGCCCATACTAAAATTTCTTTGAAATAACTTCACAAAAATATTAATAATAAACAAACTCAATTTCCTTAAAATAAGAAATATAAATTTAAAAAATGAAGAAAAAAAAAGACAATTGGTGATGACTTTACACACAAAACTAAGTATTATACTTCCAAATTTCAAAAACTCAAAATAAATTTAAAAATTCAAACAATAATAGCAATAATTGTTTCTTGGAATTGCTAATTATTTTTCATACAAAAAAAAGTTACAAGCCAGATTACTGTTTTTGTTGAATCCCCATGTCTTAAATAATCACCAAGCAAACATTATAAATTAAAGTAAGTAATAAAAGCTGTGCAACAACACAGCAATTAACTAATTACTTAAATGTGATTTAGTTTCAGACAGCTTATTTTATTTATTGAAAGAGATTTATAAATAGATAAGAAAAGAATAAATTCTAAAAACTAAAACTATGTATGAAATTATATACCAGAGTCATGTAAAAGCAAATATACTAACCTGAACATTTTCAATAACATTGGCCATTAAAGAAGTTCCATAACTCATCCAAGATTCATTTTGTCTAGTATCGAGAGTACCCTGAAAAATCAATACAAATTAACTCAGTTATCATTTGTTGTCAATCTGATTCATATGATCAAGTGATTCCCCAACTTTTTTAAGACATGGACATTTTTTTTTCAATTAAGATTATTCAAAGAATGAAGAGGTGGAAATTTTATGTGTTGAGTTTTTCCACTTACGAATTTTAATGTAATATAGCGTAAAATATCTGAATTGTTCAAGGGTCTGGAAGGCCGAGATTTCAGAAAACTCTAGATTTTAGGAATTTAACTCAAATCAATAGAAATGATTGAGCTACAGAAGAAAAATTATTTTTAAAAAAATGTGCTCTATTTATAAATATATATATATATATATGCAACAAAATAAATAAATACAAGAAAACACGAAGAAAGTTAAGAAAAACAATAAGTTTCATGTATTGCGCATAAGCTGCAAGTAAACAGAACTCATTAGATAAACTCAAAATGAAGATAAAACAAAGGAAAATTATAGACATATGAAAAGGGGAGGGGAAAATAATAATGAAAAAAAATAGCAAACAACTGATTAAAAAAAAAAGAAGAAAAAAAAGAAAAAAGGATGGCATTTTTTTAAAAAAACTGGAAAATAAAAGATATAATCTTTTCATCAGCCCACACGAAAACGAAGCACTCTTTTTTGCGGATATAATCATGTGGGCTGATGAAAAGATTATATCTTTTATTTTCCTGTTTTTTTAAAAAAAAATTTTCATCATTTTTTTTTTTAATCAGTTGTTTGTTATTTTTTTTCATTATTATTTCTGCCCCCCTTTTTCATATGTCTATAATTTTCCGTTGTTTTATCTTCATTTTGAACTTATATATATATATATATATATATATATAAGTTCAAAATGAAGATAAAACAANCATGTTTTTCAACTTTGTGTGCCTGTAGAATATATTAATTTTCACTTAAATACAAACGTTTATATATCAAATTGAAGGTAATTTAATGTAGAATTTAATAATAAGTACAGTATTACAATATCTGTATTACAAAAATAATTATGCAATTAATAGTAAGATCTATCTTAGATTTGCATTTTTTTAAAGTGATGCTTACACAATCAATACTTAGTAGGATAACCCTTAATTATTAAGACAGCTTCGCTGCGTCTTTTCATCGAGTGTGCGAGTGTTTGGAGTTCATCTTTCGTAATCACATGGTGCCAAGAATCAATTATAGCTTCAATAAGTTGTCTTTTATTGGATGGACGTTTTTTTCGTACAAGAATTTTCAAGCGTCGCCACAAATTTTCGATTAGATTGAGATCAGGGCTGTTTCCTGGCCATGGTAATATATCTATGCCTTTATTTTGAAACCATGCTTTGCATACTTTTGTACAGTTCTAAATTATTTTTAAAAAAGTTCAACAATAGTTCTAGCATTTCCACATTATTTTTAAAAACTTGATATTTTACTACAATGAATTTCGAGTCTCAATATGATTTTTCCCTATTTGCAATGATTAAGTCATAAATTCACAGTCTTGTCGATCAGTTACTCACCAGATATCATGACTCATTTCCCTGTGGTTTTTATATTCTCAATATTTTTAACAGAATATTTTTAAAACATTATGACCTTTAAATCACATTTGAGTAATTTTTTATTGACAAAGATCAGCATGATATTTTCAATTGTTTTTCTCACAGTTATGGATTTTCACAATTTTTAAAATCCCGAAATTTTCAATAAATTACATACATAATTACAACATATGAATTTTGAATCACTTAATTTGTCAATTACTTAGCACATATATCAAAAGTGATTTCATTCTAAATTCCTGTGGTTTTATCAAAAGCTCTTTTGACAGTAATCCCAATGAGTTTTTAAAATCCAGATTCTTTAATAATAAAATTGTACAATGTAGCATGAATTTGAGTTAACACTTTTTGTTACTATTGATTCATGTTTATTTCATTGTAAAACTTTGTGTTTTTTTCTATAGCTGTTTCAGCAGGTATTGATTTCCACATGATTTTTAAAATCAATTATTTTAATTATGCTATTATTACAGCACATGAATTTTTTCAATATTGCTTTGCATTTAAATCTTATTTACCGTATGTCCCAGCCTAAAGTTGACCCTATATTTTCGATCACAAAGTAGTAAATTTCGGATGTTTCAGGTACAAAAGGGGTTCATAATAATTTTTTTAATTAATTATCTTGAAATGAATCGTTGATAGAAGGAGAAAAAAACTCTTACAAAAACAGGAAATATTCATGCTGCTCCTACAGATATCGTGTAGATTCGACACATAGCAAGAAGTTTATTCAAATGTTATTGTAAAATCATTTAAAAAGTAAGATATTCCAAATTCTTTGAATAAGAATAAGATGTTTTTTTGTGAGGTAAAACAGATGAAGAGGAAATAGAATCTATTGCAGAGTAGAATCCATGTGATGACACTGCTAACGCTATTTAAGTTGTATTTGAATTTGTAGCTTTTATGGAGTGTTTTAAATTTACTCATCGTATCATATTTTTTGAAACATTCGTTTATTTTTTTTAATATAATTTAAAGTATTATTTCTAAAAACCTTCATAGGTGAAGAAAATATGATGGGATAAAATGCAAAACTTATTGTACAAAAACAATTTTCTTAGAGGATAAATTGATGCAGAGTTATTCTTATCTACTTCATTGTTTCTAATAAATTAATTTCTCATGATCAACGAACTTTCAACTTTATTACCAGTGTTCGAGTCAACACCCTAATTTTTTTTTACAATTTTGGGTGTTTGAAAAGTTAACTGATACACCAGGATATAAGGAAGCTAATTTTTTTTTCTTGTTAGGAGTTGAAAATTTTTTCTGGATTTCAGAACTTTAGAAGTCCGGAATTTTGAGATCATACTGTCTCTGCTTGAGGATTTTAAAAATTATAAGAATTTTTGCACTGACCAGGTATTTGAAGAAAAAAATGCTAAATACCATTCAGCAGCACAAATTACATTCATAATTTTTTTAAAAAAAAATATACATAGAACAAAAATAATTCAAATAAACTTTAGACTAAATAGGCATATTTACCTTAGATTTTGCATCCAGAACATCCAGCTGAGATAGTTTTCTCGACAGAGCCGACGCTTTTTCTGATTCTTCATCATACTAAAATTTAAAATAATAAGTTGAAAACAAATAAAAATTTATAATATCAAGCAGAATAACTTTTATAAATTTTTGCAAACCTCTGAAGATAAAATTGGCCCAGCTATTAAGAAGAGTCTGTCAATAAATATAACCCAGGGTTCACTTCTTAACCTGCTGACAGGAATCTGAAGCTTAATTTTTCCAACAAAACCTAAATTGAGATCATAATATTTATTACTAAGCTAATTCATAAAAAATTTAAAAAAAAAATTTTTTTGAGACTCTTTAGGTATTAAGTTTTCTTTAAAAAAATAAAAATAGCATTAAAGCATTGAATATGGCTAATACTTTCCTTGAAGTAATATATAACAAATAAACATTAAATTAAAAAAAATTACAATTTTAGTAGCAAAATATGAGATACATTGAATTTCAAAATGTTCAATCTTGAATTTTAAAATGTAACACTTTGAAGTACAGCATGCTTATAATGTTTAACAAAAGTTGCAAACCTTCATGTAATAAATTTTCTGCATAAATTAATAAAATAAAGAAAACTATATTGATTTATACCAAGCATGTTAGACATAGTCAAAACAAGCATACAAAATAAAAAGAATAAAAAAAACAAGTGTTTTTCAGAATGTCTAGTAGACTATATATTTTTTGATTAAAAAAAAAAAAATTTGCCAATAATAAAAAAAAATTTGAATCTTCAAGCACTAAATTTAAATTGATGTACGCACATCAAGTCACGAAATCTTATACGCATAAATTGAAAAATCTGCATTGAATAGATATTGAAATATAATTAAAATCTTAGAAAAATTATATCTGAGATTAAAAAATTCATAAAAGATAGCAGCATCAAGAAAGCATCCCATTCCTTTAAGACTATTTAGATCCAGCAGAATTCAGAAACAAAAAAACTTATTCTTATTCATTTTACCATTTTATGCATGCAGAAAAAATTATGTATTCATGTTCGGCAATTTGTGAAATTGTAGGAATAGAAATATTTCGTCACAATTGTTTTTCATAATTAAAATGGCCTTATCAAACTATTTACAGACAACCAAAACTGATCAACTCAGTTTGGTTGAATTACATAAATAAAATAATTGAAAAGTGTTAAATCATCAATCAGTAATAAAATCTGTTTAATATCAGGGTTCCCGCTGTCCTTGAAAATGTTAAATAGTGGTAGCAAATTTAAGATATTACTAGAAGATATTTCTTATTTTAATATATCACTTTATTGTTAAGTGGCTTATAAACTGGAACTTTCATGCATAGATTCCTTGGAAATTCTCAGGAAAATCTTTAAAATATTCTTTGGAAAACAATTTTCAGTGGTTGTTACACAGAAATTAAAATATAGACATTTGTTTTATTTTCGTAACCACTTTTTAAAATTTTTAACGCCCGTGGGGAACACTGAATATGGAATGTGACCAACATGCACTGCTATATAAGGCACCCAACAAGATTTTGTACTGCTTATGAGGATATTGAGATACTCTTTCGGCAGCACTTCCAAAAGTACTGTTTTTAACTCTTGGAGGAACCTGGAATTCTCTTTTTCATGAAAAGCATGAAGGAAGGTCAGGAGCAAGCTGAGGAACCTTTCTTAGCCTATGTCATTGCGCCCTTAATACCAAGTAGCGATCCTGAGCATGTGAGATCACTCTGTGGCAGCATCATATCTCTGGAATTGACTTCATAACCTGGATACTACTTTTGGTGCCACTTGTAATCATCTAGCCACCTCAGCTCGAGGCTCTTTAACTTCAAATCTATGAACGGCTCTCAACGATAATGAAAACTCATTCTTACTACACACAGACTATCTTGCTTGTTTTAATGCAATAATCACAATACTGCAGGCAAAAATCCTAGATGTTTAAAGTTTAAACATCTGGGATTTTTGCCTGCATTAAACTGTTGATATCAGAAGTACTGAAAAACTAAAGCTAAACAACTTCTTTTCTAAACCGAAAGTTGGTATTGTTCAATTAATTCTTCAAAATGTAAAATATAAATTCTATCAATTTTTTGGATCGTAGTTTAGAATTATTATTTTTTTAAAACATGTTAGTGACCTTAATTTTGGACATCAGTATATATTATAAACTCCTCCCATTATTTTTATAATATAAACGAGTCTTTTTTCAAGTAATTTATAAATAAGAATTTTTAATTATTTCAAATAATATAAAAATCAATGCTAACTTTTCATATTCCATAATTCAATTTGTTTCAAAAAATCAATTTTTAGTTTTCGTCAAGGGAATTTAAATTAGATTTGAGTTTTTAATAAATCAATGAGATGATAATACATTAGATAAGATGAGATACATTAGATTAGATGAGATGATAATACATTTAATAATTCATTAATATTATTAAAATATTATGCTTAAGAACCTAAAGTTTAACCTTTGCTGCAAAAGTAAGAATTTATGAGACACAAAATTTTTAAATGATATTATATGACTTTAGAGACTAAAATATTTTCAAACTAAAAGACTAAACAAAACAGTTTTTTAAATTTTTTTCAAGCATGATTAAAAAAGTACCTGCATGAATTTTCACTGGTAATTCAAGACCTTTCAAAGCATCTTTTTTCAGGGGTAAATTCTCAAGTTCCACTTCCCCTTAAAAATAGTAAATAAACAAACAGAGTGAAAATACATCTAAATTTAAACCTCCTTAATAAATTTTTATAAAAAAATTAATAAATAAATACTGTTGAAAAAAATAAGGTTCTCGATTTATATAAAATTCATTTTTTTAATATGTTTTCCCTCACTTTTGTTTAAAAACACTACATGTTCTTTTCTCAGCATAAAAAACATTAGAACAGGTCAATGTCCGCCTTTACCTCTACCCAGCGTTGTCCCTCTTTATAAACTATAACAGATTATTGCTCCAACTCCATATGAAATGAAATTGTATATGAAATTTCATTTTGTTTTCTTGAAAGGTATGTTGACCAGCAATGATGTAACAATTTGTCGCTTGACTGAATAGCTGAATATTAGGCTATAGCCGACTATTTGGTGGTCGGATATTGATTCAGAAATTCTAGTTTCTACCAAAATACTTATATACTTCTAAATACCTGTATATAGTTCTTAATAAACATGCTCAGCATTAAAGACTTTCTATCTTCCTCAAAAGATCTTCTTTAAATTAAATTACATCAATATTCTTCTTAAAAACAACTTTTTTTCTCTCCAATTTTAATTTCCATATAGCACACACTTATAAGATTCCTTTTGATGTACTGCAGGCTAAATCAAAACTAAATTATTATAAAATTTATACTTAATAAACATAATTTGCAACACAATATCATCATACACATTAATCATAATAGAGGACATTCAAATTTTCTTAATGAATAGTGTGTAAATGTAATCCAATATTTTTGTTTTTTCAATTTTTATACATTAATGCCATATCATAAATCTAAATAATTTTATTTTCAATATTCTGCTGAATTACTTGGCTGAACACTTAATTATTTGGACAAATCAAATATTCAGCTTTAGGGCATATAACTGAATATTTGTTGCATTTCTACTTATATAATTTATTTTACAATCACCCTATATACAGTAGGGAACCGATTATCCGGAACGATCGGGACTATCGCTATTCCAGATAACTGATTTTTCCGGTTTTCTGAATCGCTACAAAAAGCAATTTTTTTATTGTTAAACCTAACTAAAAATAATAAAAAAATTGGAAATAATCTTAACGATGAAGTAATACACTAATGATTATTTCCAAAATGATGGTAAGGTAAACATCTTTCAAAATAGAAAGAAAAATCCTAAAATCTTATGAGGAAAAAAAAATTTTTTTTTTAAATGGCGGGAAAATTTATCGAATTTCGTTCCGGTTTTTTGGTTTTCCGGTTTTCTGATTTCCGGATAACAGGTTCTGTACTGTATTTGTATCAACTTGCAGCTGCACTTTAAATATTTAAATCTTATACAAAACAAAAAGTACCTTGCAATAAGCCAATTGATAATTGATCTGTATTTAGATTTTCCAAATACTCCCCCACGTAAGTGTTTAGGATCCATGCAGCCAGTCCTTCTAACATTTCTAAAATAAAAAATATCATTGTCAAACATTGAACTATTTACACTTTTTTCAGCCACAACATATGCATTTAAAAAATATGAACCACAAAATATAATTGAGAATTAATGTAAGTTCTTTTTTTCTTACTTCAATGGGTAGTAAAAAAGAATGAAATTTCATGCTGCATTTCTAAATTTTACTTTATTTAAAACAGAAAAAATTTGACTCTGATAATCCGGTTTTATATTCAGTTACTAATTTTAATGGTACAAGGTTTACCTACCATAATTTTAAATAAACAATTCACAAATGTTGATCCTATTTCATAATTCGACACAAAGCTTTAAACATTTGTCACATATGTACAGTGAAAATCAACCTATTTGAAATTAGAGAAAACAAGGAAAATTCGAAAATCAAACGTAAATTATTTAGCAATCACATCTAGAGAAATAAATTCCCACTCTTTCAATTTCATGAAAATACAAGCAAATAATAATTTTGGAACAAGCACAACTCTCCTTCTTTATCGCCAGTCTACACAAGTTGAAGCATCTTTGAATAAGAAATCTTTGCAGCCTTTAAAAGAGGAGCTTTAAATATAGAAAAATTTTCTCCCTTCTTCACACATTTTCTTTCATTTAGCTTTTTTTTATCTACTTTTTTATTGTGTTGCAGTATTTTTCAGAAAATAAAGTTACATAATAATCAGGATTTTTAGCAGGGTTGGCAGGTTTTTGACATGTGACAGTTTTTGACGGTTTAAACCGGCACGTCAAAAACCTCACTGTCAAAAATGTCGAAAACCTATATTCATATGTGAAATTTAATTAATACATAAAATTTATATATTTTTTATAAAGGATAGTGTTTTTAAATATGTTCTAGAAAAAATNTATGATCTAATCTCCTTCAGTAGAGTTCTTTTTTTTCCTTTTTGTAATTTCAGTTTGTTTTTATTATTTATGTTTAATAACTTTCATGGATGGCTAAGCTTTATGGTTAGTATTTTTCACAATCATCAATTCCATTAAACTTTTTTTTTTTATTCAGGTGTGCACTTTTTCCAGAAATATAATATAGAAACTTAGTTTTTATTGCTTACTGTGTTAACCCAACTTATTACATAAACTAATACATTCTGAAATATGATCTAATCTCCTTCAGTAGAGTTCTTTTTTTTCCTTTTTGTAATTTCAGTTTGTTTTTATTATTTATGTTTAATAACTTTCATGGATGGCTAAGCTTTATGGTTAGTATTTTTCACAATCATCAATTCCATTAAACTTTTTTTTTTTATTCAGGTGTGCACTTTTTCCAGAAATATAATATAGAAACTTAGTTTTTATTGCTTACTGTGTTAACCCAACTTATTACATAAACTAATACATTCTGAAATATGATCTAATCTCCTTCAGTAGAGTTCTTTTTTTTCCTTTTTGTAATTTCAGTTTGTTTTTATTATTTATGTTTAATAACTTTCATGGATGGCTAAGCTTTATGGTTAGTATTTTTCACAATCATCAATTCCATTAAACTTTTTTTTTTTATTCAGGTGTGCACTTTTTCCAGAAATATAATATAGAAACTTAGTTTTTATTGCTTACTGTGTTAACCCAACTTATTACATAAACTAATACATTCTGAAATATGATCTAATCTCCTTCAGTAGAGTTCTTTTTTTTCCTTTTTGTAATTTCAGTTTGTTTTTATTATTTATGTTTAATAACTTTCATGGATGGCTAAGCTTTATGGTTAGTATTTTTCACAATCATCAATTCCATTAAACTTTTTTTTTTTATTCAGGTGTGCACTTTTTCCAGAAATATAATATAGAAACTTAGTTTTTATTGCTTACTGTGTTAACCCAACTTATTACATAAACTAATACATTCTGAAATATGATCTAATCTCCTTCAGTAGAGTTCTTTTTTTTCCTTTTTGTAATTTCAGTTTGTTTTTATTATTTATGTTTAATAACTTTCATGGATGGCTAAGCTTTATGGTTAGTATTTTTCACAATCATCAATTCCATTAAACTTTTTTTTTTTATTCAGGTGTGCACTTTTTCCAGAAATATAATATAGAAACTTAGTTTTTATTGCTTACTGTGTTAACCCAACTTATTACATAAACTAATACATTCTGAAATATGATCTAATCTCCTTCAGTAGAGTTCTTTTTTTTCCTTTTTGTAATTTCAGTTTGTTTTTATTATTTATGTTTAATAACTTTCATGGATGGCTAAGCTTTATGGTTAGTATTTTTCACAATCATCAATTCCATTAAACTTTTTTTTTTTATTCAGGTGTGCACTTTTTCTAGAAATATAATATAGAAACTTAGTTTTTATTGCTTACTGTGTTAACCCAACTTATTACATAAACTAATACATTCTGAAATATGATGTCCATAGTTAAACCAGAGAATATTTAATAAGATAATTTTGTAAATTGCAGAATACAAATAAAAGGTCCTGTGTAAAGCCCTATTAATTTGCAAACAAGTACAGAAAGTTGTATGAACTGAAAGGGATAAATTTCATTGGAAAAGCAATTTGTTCTTTAGTAGGACATGTCTTAACTAGTAGCATATACAGGTAGGACTTGTAAGATTAAGTGTGAAGATCATTGATAATTCCCTTCTTTAAAAATTGTTTAAATATTCAGATTAAGGGGCTGTATCCCAATTGCAAAATTCAAGTAATTAGGACAATATATTGAATAGTAAATACTTCAAATTCACATTATCAGCATTGGGCTTTTATTTAACTTGATAGTTGCAGTATTGATGTAATTTATAAAAATAAAAAAAAATCTAAGCTCATATTTTTCAATATCTGCAATGGAATGAAGAAAAAATTAAAAAATATCACCTATTTTGAAAAAACATAGGATGCCAAGATTTCCAAAACAAAAATGTACAAGTTGTAAAATGTTACGGCCTGATTTATTGTGTTAAACTATGTGATGAAAACTGCTATGAACATGCATTATCAATTTTATACCAAATTGGGCAACACTTCACCTTTTATGTTATAAAAAAAATTATTAACAATTTTATAAAGAAATATTGTTAGTTTATCACCATAAGTAGATGTAAAAAAATATTAAAATTTACATCTATTTAATTTTAAACTCAATCCAGAAGACAACATGGCTACATTTAGCTAATTTAGAAAAATATCTTTGATTAAAAATTTGAACTGGATGCAAAAAATTTCTATTCCTAATTATAAGACAAAGTGAAGTCTACTTATTTAGTTTTAAACTGTTCTTTAGTTTTTATTATTATTTAATAATGTGATGAAAAAATTATTAATAATAATTAATTTAATAATAGGATGAAAAAAATTATTTTTTAGCATTTATTTACTTAAATATAATTATGATACATTTTAAAGAGTATATTAATATCTAAAACAATAACATATATTTTTTAATGAAATATAGACTAATTTTAGAACTTTACCCACTCTGGGGTAAAGAGGGTACCTCAAAAAATGTTCTCTTAAATGCCTTATTGCAAGAAAACAAAATAGATATGGGGATATTTCCGTATCATTATCTTTCGCGCTAACTAAAGTTGACAAATAGATTTTAAACTTGCTAATTTTTTTTAAAAAAACAACATGTAGGTATTTGTCTGGAGAGGCTACGAGTTATACATTTCGAGTTGGTCCCTTTCTGTGTTTTTTTTAGTTTCTCGCTGGCCACTGCCCGGAAGTTACCAAGACTTGGTGATTATTCTGCCACAGTTCAGGATACGGTAATTTCCCTCCTAACCTGACCCTATAAATCCCTGGATCTTCCCTTTCTTCATGACAATTAATTACATGTAAACGTACTCAGAGTATAAGAATAGATAGCCTAATCAATATTACCTATGAAGGTGAAATTATGAAGTTTTTTTTTATTATGATCATTATTATTAACACTTCTTAACAGGAACTTTGTTGGAACACTTAAAATAAGATACACAGCAAGAATTGTAGCTCATAAAATTTTACTACAGAAGAAACATGTTTCATACAGATCATTAATCATCCTCAGAATTGACATAATTTTAGATACTTTGAAATAAGCTTTATTTTTCATAGTTAAATAACAAGACATTAACTTACTTGAATTTTTAAAAAAAAATCTATGCCTTCCCAATAGGTATTAGAATTTTTTTAACCATAAAATTATTAGATCTTCCATGATTCCAAAACTTGTTTAAAGAAAGTCAGCTAAGTCACAACCAATTGTATTTTCTAAATGACGAATAATTTGTTTTGATGTCGAACCATTGCGTCATTTTGGACTAATTTGTTTCCGTCTGCTTAGTTTTGCTAAATTTAAGTTCTTCTGATAATAATTCAATTTAGGTAATATTTCTGTAAAACTGGAACCATAACTCTGTTAATCAAAGTCATATACTTCAACTGTCACTTTAGAATTAGAGGGAAGAAACACTTTTCGAAATTTGAATATTTTGTTCTCAGCAGCGGTTCTCAGTAAGCTCAAAAACATAATCTTAAGTTTTGATCTTCAATTATAAAATTTAGAATAAAATTGATAAGAGATATATCTTAATCTTTCACAAGTACAATGGATGCTGCTTTAAATACTGTATTAGGTTTTACCTATGAAACTCAGCTTTTTGATTTTCATCCTCGTCAGTATATTGATGGAGGTAAGAATAATTTTTTTCACATCTTTATTCTTTGAATTAAGAATCTAATAATTTAAATCCTTTGTTAAATTAGAATGTTTGTTTTATTTTGGTTTAATGGTCCTTGTAACTATTGATTTTTATCAATGTATGAAAAACTAGATTTTTGTTTTAGTTGAATAAAATCATTCATTTGAAAAAAAAGAAAAAAAACTGCATTACATACTTGTTCCATTAATGTTATTAAAGTCTCAATATACAATAATAGAGTGAAAATATTTCAGATTTATTCCTAATGAGCACCAGATATTTTTTATTCATTTATTCTGAAAAATATAGTTTTTAGTTTAGAAAATAGTTTTCGATAAATATATTAATTCAACAGTCTTTTTTTTTTCCCCTTTTGAAATTCTTATCAATATGCAATACATTTCATGGTCTCTTTTTTTAAAATTTAAATTGTTTATTTTATCAAAAGGTTCAAATTATTTTAAGTTATTTTAAAAAAGTGTCATGTTTTAAAGGAAGAAATAACTTTCGTCTAAAATTCAATATCAATTACTTTGCAAAACAGATTTGGAGTACATTAGCTTTCGAGACTAAGGTTTATTAATAAAACTTATGATTCTCTATTAGAAATAAACACACTACAGAAAAGAATAAGTTTTTAAAATTTTCCTTTCCTATTTACAAAATTTCCGATTCATATTATTAATGTATATATATAATTATTGATAACTAATTTATAAATTTAAGAATCTTGTATTAGATGTTATCTTGTAATGCCCATTAGTTTAAAATATTAAAAATAATCATTAAACTCAAAATCATTGTGATTTAAACAGAAATTTGATATTTTCAAAAAATTGATAAAACTAGCAACCTCACAAGAGCTAATTATTTTACCAATGAATATGTTAGGAGTCAATAAATGTTCTAAAAATTTAAAGTTTTTTTTTTTTTTCTTTAAGAGAGAGAGAGAGATAGTTTCTGTTGAGTAGGTTGATAGGAATATCAGACGGGATCTCTGCTTTTTTATCGTTTAGAAAATTATTGATGCTACAATCTCATAATATGACTATTTTTTTTTTTCTTTTCAATTTTGGTCTGGCTTTTAATTGATTTTTCCCATTACAAAGTCTGTTCTATATTTTAATACATAATCAGAGTTTGAATAAAAATTATATAATAAAAAGTTGTTTTTTTTTTTTTTTTTTCAAATTTATTTCAGTATATTTTTNTTTTGCTTAAAAAATAATTAATAATTTTATTTTCAAAAAAAAAATTTTTTTTTTTTACATAATCCAGTTGAAAATTTTTATTTTACTTGACATAAAAGTAAGTATCCTTTTTCTCCTTGAGAAAGTTTCCTTTTTTTCTGTAGAAGTGTCCTTTACTTCAAATGCACGCTGCCCCTTATTACAAGAAATGTGAACACTTTTTTTAATAAAATAGAATAGTAATTCACACTTTTTATTTTAGTGTACAATGTTTTTTATGAGAATGTGTTTGAAGCATTAAAACAATTCCAAGAATATCTTATTGGAGAGGTAAATATTATCTTTATTGTACTTATTGCTAAATGTCAGATAGTTTATCACAAAAAAGGACTACAATTAATTCTGAAAACCATTCGACAGTGTTTATAAGTTACAAGATTATTGGAATCCCCATCTCGGCAGCAGGGAAAATTTAAATAATCCCTTTCATTCAAAGATACCTGGGGGAAAAAAGCTATATGAATATCTGATAGCACGCCTATTTTTCCAACTCTAAATCTCATTAAGATTGAAGGAATTAATTCAATTAATTTAGGTCCTTTCTTGATACAGTCATTTATGGAAACAGAACCTCTAATATGGGCCGAAGTATCAATTTTTCTAATTTCCAATATCTAATTTTGGTTGTAGCATTAGGTTTTATTACCGCTCTGTGAGGAAGATGGTGGACATTACCGGTAAATTGTGAATTTTCTCTAATTTAACCTTTTCAATAATCCCTTCTTTCTATTCATCAAAAACTTGCTCATAATTTTTTATGCACTTTAAATATATAAACCGTTCTTTCCAGCAGGGATGCCATGTACAATTTTGTTTTTCTGAAATCAAATAGAAGCTAAGTAAAAAGGCTTACCTTGCTTCTCCTTCGGGGTTCTATAAGGATGAACGACTTTCTAAAACACAAACTGCATAAAGAGACAACCAAAAACCGAATGACTAAAAGGCTAAAAAATTGAACACTATTTTAATTGAACATTAATGGACAACAGTGAAGTAACGAAGCTGCAACTGATAAAACCCCAGGCAGCACTATGGCGTAATTCGGTAAACTTTATTTCGTTAACACTTTTATTTTGTTTTAATTATTTTAGAAAAAGGAAGTAGTTTCACCTGAAACTATAAAATTGAAGACTGAGTTTTTTTTCCAAGAACTAATAAAGAATCTGGATAAAGCAATGGATAAATATGAGGTAAATTCAATTCAAGGAATAGAGAAATTTAATTTTATAAAAATTATAATCTGTTTTAGTAAAGTTAACTTTTTTTTTAAAAAATATTCTAGGTATTTATTTGCAGAAATTTCTTGTGCATTCCTGAAAATTTAGTCTTACCTGAAGATAAAGTGCATATGACATCTTCCTGTACAGAAGAACAGGAATTGTTGTTAGATCAAGAAATTGAAGAACTAACACAGGAAATTATTAAGGTAAGTGACAGAAGATATAGTTATGATATAAAATATTAAATCAGGATATTTTGAAAATATATCTCTGTCATTTAGAATAACAGCAGAAGACTGAGTATTCATGTATTCAATAACATAAAAATTATTATTTGATTAGGTCTATTCTAGTCTAGTCCGGGCATCAGGGGAAAAAAGGGCATGTTTATTCTGAGAAAGTACGTTTTTGTGTCTGATTTTGTAACTTAAAATGTCGTCTGCTGAAAATTATTAAAGCACGTCAGAAAATAGTATGAGATAGAAGCAAACCAATCACAGTATTTTTTTTATTTATTTATTTTTTTATATATAATATATATATATATAAAGCATTGCAAACTGAGGTGTGAAAAAGAATCAGTTTTTGGTGAGGTGGTGATTACCAAAAGCAAAGCAGGTACGTGATGCAGACCTTTCCTCATTATGGCTTGAGTTGGTGATTATGAGGGTAAATATAAACCTTATGAGTTACACATTTTGTTGGTAATAATTCAACATGTAGAACAAAGTTCCTGCATTTGTTTTTAATACTTAGGTAGAAAGTTCATTTAAAAGGCCAGATGGTAAAAATATTTATCTTTATGTTCATTAAACAGGACTTAAATTATCTAAATATTTCCACGCACATTTCTAAACTAAAATTTTTAAAAAGTTTACAACTCCAGGATAAATTGAATATTTTATACATACCCTTTTGGTAACCTTAACATAGACTTAAGAAATAATTAATAAATGTATATTTTGAGCCCTGTTTAGGAACATTAACAGCAATCGTATGACAAATACAATTTAAATATCTTTTCAATATTTTTGTTCCCTTGATCAGTAAATATAACAAGATTTCAACAACCTTTCCCATTCAACTATAGATCAAGAGATATATGTGTGATCTCATGACCTTCCTTTATAGTAAAACTAACTGGGCACAGTCTATTGTGCTAATCAGCGGAGGAGGACAAGGAACCTGACAGTGTTAAATTGTCATTTGTTCGTCCAGTGGATGTTGTTTGGTGCTTATGACTACACCCATTACTAGTCAGGCTCAGGATAATGCTATGGTCATCAGTTTCACATTGGTTTCTTTTATGGCCTATTATATCAACTTCATCTGTTTAAAAAAAAAAGTTTATTTAAATTATACAATAAACTAATAACCTATTTTGTGTATTTGAGATCATCTCCCTTGAGCCATTAAGATTGCATTCTAGAACACGAAGATATGATCTTGAAATCAAAAGTTATTCAAAGTAGTCCTCTTTTTTTTTTTGGAGCACTGTACATGAATATTTTCATTAAATCATAACTATAACATATTTCCTTATAAGCAAACTATTTTAAACTATTATAATTTACAAAAAATAAAAATATTTGTTTAAAGGAGTCAATCAATTTAAGGGTTTAATTCAGTTTCTATTGGTATTTAGCACAGTTATTAGAATAAATTTCCTAATTACATGTTATTTTATTATGTTTATAATAGTTTTAATACATCTTGATTCTAGTCCATACAGCTTAGCATTGATTGAAGAGTAGTTTCAAATTTCAGCCTTATTCATACAAAACTAAAAAAATTAACTTGGAGTACAGAAAGCTTCAAAACTTTTTTTTAGTAAATCACATGCTTTGGGGAAAGGAGATGTTAAAATGGGAGTAAATGAAAATTGATTCTACATATAATGAATAAGATGAGTATTAAGTTTTTTTTTTTTTTGTGTTTTATTAGATGATTGTTTTTGTATTTTTCTTTTCAATAATTAAACAAATTGCCCGATTGGATAAGTTGCATTTCTGCACCAAAATTCAGTTTTTTGACAGTAAATTATCGAAACAAATAGGGTTGGATGTCAAAATAATTTGAGAAAAAAATTAATTGATACCTTGTAATGTTGTATTTATATTTATTTATAAATACTTTTTATTTATAATAGTTTTCTTTACACCAAAATTTTAGGTTTTTGACAATTATCAAAACCTGCTAAATCTGGGTCTAAAACTTTTTGCTACTTTTTTGGCAGTAACATGATTTTACAGTCTTAAAAATTTTGTTCTTTGTTGGCAAAAAACTGATCCATGTTTGATTGGCAATCTTTGGTTTGAGCCAGTTTATTTATTTTTTACTCCATGATTTCTTACATTTAACATTGTTGTAGACATCCCATTTCTCTTTCTTGTCCCCGGAGATGATACACTTAAAAAATGAATAATTTTTCTTAACATTCAGAATGTATCGAGAATACCACAGAGCACAACTGCATAAATTTTCTGTTCTTAAAGACATGGGTAACCCCATCTATTGAGCTTTGGTATTAAAGCTAAACAGTTCCAATTACCATAAAACAGTTGAATTTGATAAATATAATCTCTCAGTGGTCTCACAAGTTGTTATTCACCAGTTAGTAGCTTTAGTGTGCCTTCATCAGCTTCAACTGGCATTTCTGAACGTGGTGCATTTTCAACATCAAAACTAGTTTTGCCAGTGGCCATTTTGCAACACAGTTTTGCCAGTGGCAAACTGTCAATACATCTTCATGCACACCTAATAGTTTTTTCATTTTTTTTAAATTTTATTACTTGGATAGCAATTTTACCCTCTCCATAGTAAAAAACTAAAATTTGTTTAAAATGCTGCTTTTCGCTTATTATATTTGATAAAGCACTAACAACAAACTACTGCATAGAATCAATCAATTATTTTACACCCAAGCCTTACTATATCAGTTGTCATATAATGATTAATGTGGCATAAATGTGAAATTTGCTGAAAAAAAGTACAATTAAGTCCTCTGTTAGAAAAAAAAAACTAAATTACTTTCCAAACAATCCAATGATACAATGGAATTCTGGGAATCTTATCTATTGAAACCTTCCCTGACTCATATTTCCTTTAATTCATCTATGTAAATTATAGTTATCAAGTTTTCAACTGTGGAAAAAGTGCTTTATAAAAAAATTTCTCTGAAATAGTAAAAAACTTTTTTCTTATCTACTATTACCATAATTTATTACATGATTCTCTAAATAAAGATTAATCCATATCGGAATAGCTTGTTTAAAGAGTAAGAAAATCATAATAATTACCAATTATTGTAATACTCCAAAATCTTTTTTGGGCAAGGTTATAAAATGTAGAAAGTTTTGAAACAGTTGAAAATGCTAAAAAGTTTGGATAAGATTCAGTGATTGCAAGCTTTAAAATATTTTTATTCTTGAATTTATTTCCAAAACTGAATCTGAATAAATTTATTAAATTTAAAATAGTTTTGTGCTTTAAGTTAACTCATGTTTGTTAATTTAACTTTTGTTTTAACTCATAAAATCATGTTTGCTTTCTGTATTTAGGAAAAAGTTCGAAAATCAGTTTTGAAACAAAAAAAAGCAGAACAGAAATTGGTGAGAGCAGAATTGGTTTATTTCAAAGAAAAACTTGAAGAGATATCTAATGTTATAAAACAATGTTCTTGTAAGTTATTTATTTTTAAGAAGTCTTTTTAGATGCCAGTGTTTTCACTACATCACGAGAATCTCGCACATTTTTTTTTCTTTTCTCGTATTAAAAAATAATTAACACGAGAAGTTCATGCACTCTATTAGTCAATTTCGAAATGGCGAATTTCATGAATTTTTGGGGGGGAAATCGTCTTCTGTTATTTTAAATAAAATCCGTTTCACTTTTCTTCCTTGATCTTTCATTATTTTCAACATTGGTCCTTGTTATCTAGCTTTCCTATTTAAAGGTAATTAGGTAAAGTTTCTTCATGTAAGACGTTTAAATTTTTTGTGTATGAATGTAAGATGGACAAATTCCTTGTTAAGGCAACATCTTCTACTCCGTAACGAACAAATGAAAATTTAACAAATGCTGATAAAAACGGTCAAAACAAATACGGATATTTTTTAGATAAATAAAAAATTAGTTGAGAAAAAAATGAGTCCTTTATAATAAGTTATTTAAAATCAGCTCTATTTTTAGCTGTTAATGAATAACCAAACTCCCTCATCGACAATTTACAGCAATTTGTAAAAGTTGAAGGCTGTGAAAACTATGCTGGAAGACCTAGCAATGAACCTAGATTTAGAAGTATGAACATGAAAATAACTTCAACGAACTTCATTATTCTATAGCAGAAATAATTGAAAAGCCTATGCTGGCAGATGTAGAGGATAGGAAAGTGTGTGCACAATGCTACAAATGTACTTAGTGATTCCGAATAGGACCGTTGCCGATAGCCCATTGTGCAGCTCTAGTGCGACGTAAATGAACAATTCAAATCATTCCGAATAGCTCAGGTCATTTGGCAAGGTCATTTAGCACCCAAAACCGAATTAAGACAAAATATTGTAACAGTTTGTCTGATAAGCGAGCCTGCCTAAATGCCTAATGAGAATAGCTGGTGAAAAAGTAGATCTAGAACCTTTTCCATATGATGATGCAGCAAAAATATTCAATGCTTTAAAAATTAGAAGATGTTAAATGTTAAAAATTAGAAATATGTATTCTAATGAAAGAAATATTTTTTCCAAGTCTATTCATGTTTTTTTAATTTTTAGACATCTCACTTAACTTTTTGAAATCTCACCCTGTTTTTGAGAAAGGGTGGGAAATTCTCTCCCATTTTTTTTCTGTAATGAAAACACTGGATACTTTCGGCATTTGTTTTTTATTGTATGTTTTTAACATACTATAAGAAACATTTATATTTTTTGTATCTATGCAATGGTTGTACTACAATCTGCAGTGATGTTAGAATGTAAACAAACAACATCTAACTGAAGTTCAAAAAAATAAAAGAAATATTGTCTTCTTTTTTTAATAGCAAGAGGTAAATATCAATTTTAGTTCAGATCCCTTAGTTAACATTTGATTCACTTTTAAGAGACTATTTTTTAAATGCAGCTTTTAAAATTTTGATAAACAATGAATAAAGAATAAGTTTTTTTCCCCAGTGATTATTATGGTATCATATAGTATTTACAGTAAAACCTTGCCAATCCCATCCATTTGCTAGGATCAGATTTCATTCATATTCTCAACAATTATAAATGAAAGAATTTTTGAAAAGGTATTTATATAATGACTGTTGAAAATCAACCACTCAATGATTAATGAAATACAATAGGAAGACAAAAATATGAATTGTAATTAAGATGAGGACCATGCAAAACCTGATTCATATTAAATTCACATATTGTCCTTGTTTAAAAGAGGAACGTAACAGTCTAAGTAGAAAATAATCACAGATTTGTACTGAGATATTAAAAATGTTATATTTAATTGATAATTTCATAATCCATGTGAATCATAATAAAGCATCATAAAAAACTGACTGTATTTGTTTATCCCACGAATAAGATTGGCTATATAATGCCTGGAAACAATCAGCTGTAGAATTTGCTGCTATTACATGTTTAAAAACGATTTAGCATTGAAAATAAAAACATTCAAATTTATATATCTCTTTGTCATGTTTAAAAAAATTATATTTGAAATTCTACAGCATCACATTTAGAAGACAGAAGTTTGTCTCTGATATTGCTTTAATATTGAATTTAAAGTTAGTAAATTATATTAATTTCACCATAAAGCAGGGTCCTTACATACCTGCCAACTTTTACGCATTGGGCGTAGAATTTTATTTTTATATTTAAAGTTATAGTAAATATATACTATTTTTTTCTTTTACAATCTAAATTTTTAAATGATTCTCATCACCACTATTCTTAAAAAAATTAAGCATATACATACCTGCCGACTTTTAATCCTTTCAAAGATGATTTTCACCAGTGGTAGTTAAATGGATTTTAAATTACAATTTTAGACAGAAGCATTCGCTGTGTTTAAATCAAGCTTTTGCGTACTTCTATACTAGTTTTACGTATTAATCTATATGCTTAATTTTTTTGAAAATAGTGGTGGATCAAAAAGATTGTAAATGAAGTTTCTAAATGCAAGAAATATATAGAAAGCATACATTTTACTACCACTATAAATATAGAAATAAAATTTTACGCCAAATGCATAAAAGTTGGCACATATGGTTCTTAGTTGTGCTTGTTTATCCTGACAATGTCGATTTTTGTGCTTTCAGAACATTTTATTTTCTACAAATGCAAATGCGGATTTAAAAAAAAAATAGATTTGAAGAATAAGAAGATTTAGATGTTTGCTCGGACATATTTTTTATTCTAATTAATGATACTAGTAAAAATTGAATGATTCAAAAGCACAAATTTGTGACTGTCCATTAATTATTTACATGTCGGGCATATCACAGCATGCATTGTTTATTCCACTCTTTGGGAGTTCTGCCATTTTATGAAGAAGAAACTCAATTCTGTTAACAATTTTTCATAATAAAATTTTTATGCAGCAGTCATACGCTTATTTATTATTTTCAGCAAATGTGCTAGGTAACTAATTTTTTAGATTTGAATTTTTTAGTTTTACAATTGTTAATTCATCTTATTTTAAAAATGATCAATTCCAATCAGCAATACAGTTATATCATAGTTTTTAATAGATGGTTTAAAGGTTCATCTACTAAACTACTTTAGTAGTACTGTGAAGAGATTGGCTTATTCAATGTGTTTTCATTTGGATATTATTGAAACCTTATTCTAATATTATTTTATTAAGAAGGTCTTGAAATTGATTAAAATTTTGAATAAATATTGGTGTAAGGAATTAAAAATATCCTGATTTAATTTAATTTATTTATTATTTTTTTAAAGCATGTTCTCTTATTTCCTTGGTCCATAATGAGGCCTGCATAAAGAGAAAAAATGACTATGATATTTCCTATTTGCCATTCTAATACTTGTAGAAAGTAACAATTATAGGTCACATTTTCGATTAATTTTTTTATGATCTACGTTTTTATAACATAAAAGTAGAGCTTTTTTTTTTTTTTTTTTTTATATATATATTTAGTTGTATTTTAATTTTATTACCTTCCTCTTTTCTAATGCAAACGTATGTATAAAATCTATTAAGTTTGGTAAAAGCTATAATTATCCTATGCAGAAATTTTTTAAATTCTAATTAAATAATTTCTTCTATTTCGTAAAGATTAGTCTTACCTGCTATTTTACAAACGTCCCGATAAATAAATGTTAATATTTTTTCATATTTGTTGATCTTTTCATTTTAAAAAATAGTTATTGATTTATATAGATATGCTTTCTACAGAATGAAATGTCTGTTATGTTTTTAACTATTAGCATTGTTGTGTAATGTGTTTTGTATGTTTATAGTTACAAAAGAAACTCTTGATATGATTATGGGCGAATGTGCTGAACTCTGCAATTTCATAAAAGAACGTGGAATTGAAAAGTAGGTTTTACCTATATTTTATAAAATAACTTAATTCAAAGTATTTAAAAATGGTCTAAATTGCAATTATTTTTTCAATTTATTGTGCTCTATTTTTAACATTTTTTTTTCTTCTATTTTTAACATTTTTTTCTTCATTTTTTTTCTTTGATTTTCAATCAAATATGCTGTGCAATTCCTTTTTTATCAATTTTTTAAAAAATTTATACGAATTTAAGAGTATTTTCCTCGAACATAGTGAATTTTCTAAATGTAGAAATTTTCTGTGCATTCTAATCAACAATGAATCTTTTCCCACAACAACTTTTCCATCAACAATGAATCTTTTCCAATTTACTTTCAAGTATTCCTTTACATATTTAGGGATAAAGATTTTTTTCCTACGACAGTGGGATAAAACATAATTAAATAGATGCATATAATTGAGCTGATTGTCTGCAGTGAGATGAAGGGAAAATTCCAGAATTTAAAGTAGATTCAATTACAGAAACCTTATTTATAAACAATAAGTTAGGTAAAGCAATTACACGATAGCTTTTTCTAGGCCGAAGAGTTTAATTCTTCACAATTTCATGACCAATAATATGATGGTTGCAATGTGGCCAGCAATTGCGCACTGACCACCTCTACTTTTCCTACACCAGATATATATTATTCTGAAGCTAGGTGAGCTTCAAATAGCTGCATTTTGAAGTAACCCTTATACTTCACAGTGTAGGACCGTGTCTTTATCATTGTGCTATCCCAGCTTTTATAAATATTGGGGAGATATTTTAGATATTTAGGACTCCTGCAATTATGTCAAATTTCCAACTTCAAAAATAGTTGCTAAAAACCACGATTTCGTTGTCTCTCTTGTAACAGTGCGTTCATTTATTCAAAGAGGGGGTTTAGTCTATTTATCTAAGCCACTTTTTTTATTTGTATCAATCTCCTATTTTACACTTTTCTTTTTATGATAATTGTTTTCATTTGATCTTTCAATTGATAATTGTTTTCATTTGATCTTTCAATTAATAATTATTTCATTTTATGTTCTTTTATTATAGATCATGAGCACATTTGGAAAAAGAAATTATCTTGTGTATATAAAGCCCTGTATAATATATTATGTGTAGCCTTTTTTTAAAAAAAAAAATCTGATTTGTACTGTAAAATTCATGTTGTATAGTTCTTGTTAAAGCAAATATATACTTAGAAAAAAAAATTCTTGTTTTATTTCTGGCTCAACAAAAAGCTAACTCTCTGATGTATAGTGAATCAAAATAGAATAAAATTAGAAACAAGTAAATATTTATGTATAACAAAACAAAAGGAAATACTTAAAAGTGAATACAAAACTTGACGATAAGTTTGGCGAATATTTATTCAACCAATCTCTTGCCTTTATATACTTGGTTTTATACCGCACCAACACTCAAAATTGTACCACACAGTTAATTAAATGTTTGGAAAATATACCACACAAACAATTAAATGTTGTTTAATGGTCATATTTTAAAATAAATATTTTCTTAATTAATGCAATTTTCAATATAAATTCTTATATTTAGATTAGTTATTCGCTTATTTATTTTTAAAGAAACAGACAAAAGCAAGCATTCAGAAACAAATTCTAACTTCCAATAAGTCATTTATATACTGCATATATAAGTAAATAATAAATTAGTATTTTCCTCACGCAAGTGAGCTCCACTTCCAGACTGCCAGTTATATCTTCTGCAATTTATTACCCATTTCTTCTTTCTTTCTAGATCTGATTGAAATTTTAACATTAGAAGGCCTTTTTTTAAAAAAAAAACTGTTTTTCCAGTTCATCGCAACACAATTACCCATATCAATAATTTTATGAGTATCTAAATAGACTTCAAACTCTTGCGCTAATGTTAACACTAAATAACTAGCTAACTTGTTTCCTCTATAATGGTGAATAATTCAATTTTTTAATTTTGATCGTTAACTCTGAATGTATTTTTTCACTAATGATTATGATAAAAGTTATGGCTGAGAACAAACTCTTAATGCAAAATATTCAAAGGAATTTCTGTTTTTAAAACCATCTAGACTTGGCGACGAGTGCATGTTCTGTGAGATTGGCTGTTGTTATTTCACCATTTCTCAGCATGTTAAATCTATTAAGCACATGAAATTCGCAGAATCAGTCATCACAAGTTCAAAATTAGATGGCTATCTTAGGAATGATGATATACAGTGTTCCCACTTTTTGTCTTAAATGTGTAAAGTATAAATACTGATTACATATTTAAAACATTCGTGTACCTACATACAGAAAATTCCTAGGGGCAAATCCTACTAAGCGGTTTTCAAGCTTTCACAGAAGATTCTGGTCCTCATTAACCGCGAAAAACGAGGGATCACTGTAGATGTAAATAATGCTGAAATTTTATTTAAGTCATTTCTCAGAGAAGATAATTAATGCCGAAGTGACTGACTTGGCCAGAATAGAATCTGCAAGATACTTATTGTAAGAGTTAACTTAAAATTATTTTGGTGCGTATAAGGTAAAGTAAATTTGTTTATGTATTATAATTAATAGAATGAAATATTTGGTATATGTACTAATAATTGGATATAGTCATGATTAAAAATAGTAAGATGATTGAAATGTCATAATAAAATAAATTAAGGCCGAAATATATNAGCTTGAAAAAACTCAATGTTGAGTTTAAACGCAGATTTCAGTGCCATTCAAACATAATTAGATATTTTTACCATGCCTTTCAACATAAATTGTGAAACAGTGATGTAGGATTTGCAGCTTGAATTAATTGAGTTGCAATCTAAGCCAGAGATTACATGAAAGAAGTTGTTTCTAAATATGCTAAAGTTTTAGTTTTGACAAATCATTACCAAAAGCTAGTTTCCCAAATTTAATATCTCATGCCCACAAAATATGCTATGTTTGCTTCATCTTATATATGTGAACAAGTGTTTTCAACAATGAACGTTGGAAAAAATCATTTCAGAAGTAGATTAACAGACAAGCTTTAAGCCTCGTTCCTTAAAATAAGTATATCTCACTTAGAACCTCAATAAAAAGAACTTTTAAAAATGAAATCACAATTTCATTCATCTCATTAAATATTTAAATTAAACTTGTACATCGTTCTTTTTTTTTTTTTTAAGTTCTTAGCACACCTAACTTTTTTTTGTTGATTTTTTGGCCCTCGACCAAAAAAGTTTGCCCATCCCTGTACTATGATAACTAAAACTGGAAAGTTAGATGGTAGTTAAGATGCACAATTCTAAGCAGTGTTATGAAAGAAAACTTTCTCAAGAGGCATTAAAAAGGCAATTGTTGCTTTCCTTTCAAAATATTGAATTTATTTAAGACTAGAAATGCTTTGAATGGTGGGTTTTATGATTATAATATTAATAGATTTTAATAATTTGGCATTTTTCTGTCTTATTGGTCAATAAAATATAATATTTCTTTTGTCTCTTCCTCTTCTATAATAGTTACTTCTTGGTTTAAAATACACTTTATAAAATTACTATTTTGTGTAAAGTACTCTATTTGAGTAAATACTTAAGCTAAATATTTGTTGTTCGTTTTTTTACACAAGATACAAGAATTATTTACACAAAATACAAGAATTATTTTTTTTATATAACATTACTAGAAAATGTATTGAAAACAAAGTATTAAATAATAAAATTTCTAAATAATTTACGTCTTAATTTGTCTCTCATGGGAAATATTTGATTGTATTTTTATAATGACTAAATCGCCCCTTTTTTGTATCTTTTTCATGTAATTTTTTCCTTTTGAAAAATTTTGGATTTTCCTCCATTTTGCTTTCTGACCACACTCATCCCTGGATCTGACAGAATATAAAAACAAAAAAGGTCTAATATATTTTATTGATACAAGTAGCATGAGATATTAAGAAATATACACAAATCAATGCATAAGTATATTTATTTTTTTATGAAGGGGTTATCTCCAATAATTTCATATAATGGCTGAAGTATCTCTTCAATTTTTTTGATAGCCTGTTGGGAAAAAAATTCATATTATGTCTTATTCTCAATGTATTAATTGTTACAAATCATTCATAAAAATCAATGAAACATACATCGCTTACTGATTCAGATGCAAATCTAACGATACAGCCACACGGCTTAGATGTCTCGTTCAAACATAGAGGACTTGCAGAAATCAGTATGTTTTTACAAGACTTCTCACCTAAAAAATGTTAAAAGTTAATGATTTTAAAATTACTTCTGTAGCAAACAACATAGAAAAGCTAAAAATCAGTTTAGCATATCAGTATTTAAAAATAAACAGATTTTCAAAGTGAGTAAAGAATTAAGTTGTAAAATAGCCTGGGCATAGTACTGACAATCAATATTAATTATTGAAATTTGACAAATTTGTTCTAAAAATATGCATGTCAATAATTAAATACAGTAGAAGATCTGAAAAATAAAATTATATAAACTGCGATTCTCCCAACTTTACAGTCTCTAAATTTGTTAGATATATCTAATGCACTGATAAAAAAATTTTTTATAAAAAAAATATTGAAGTGCATATTTTAGTGTACAAAGTATTAAGTTAAAAATTATTTTTAGAACATTAATACCTGTACTAGATACGAAAGAGTAGGATAAAACCATGTACCTCAATCTGTTTTCTAGTGAACGAATTCTGAATTGCACTTTACTAGTAAAGAAGAAGGACCCACCCTATCGGCCTAATGTTCTTGATCATTTCATGGAGTCCATGTAATTCGTGTTACTATGCAGGGGTCTGTCTAGGTTTTTCTGAAAGGTACCTATTTTGTAAAAATTTAGACATAATTTGTGAAGAATTAAAAAATCAACACAAAAACATGGTAAAAATATAGATTTATCATTTCTTAAGGGATACAAAAATAAAATTTTAAGAAAAAGTTTTGTGATACTACCGTTTTACCTAAAATAGAATTTGTAAAAGTACTACTAAACGGTAGTAAATTCGGCCTGGGCAGACCCTTGCTATGTCAACTCTCTGTTCTTTTGTTTTTAAGTTGATCTTATTTATTGGTCATTACAGTTACAAAAATAAATTTTAGTAAACTTTATTATGTGTCTACTAAAGATTCATACACTAACAAACATGGATTGTACAATCGTAGCACTGTTCTTGTTTTGATAACCCCTGCTCTCGGAGTAAGACTGGATACTAGAAATCTGCCCTGCAATTAAAAAATGATAGTAAGCAATAAAAAATTCTCAATTGAGATTTCTATATATTTGGCATCTATGTATGATAAGCTACATATTGCATAAAAAATTTTGTTTTATCAGTTTTATAAAATTTTATTTTGGCATTCATAGCAATAGGAAAAAAGTAGTTGTCAAGCCACTTTTCAATTGCACAGCAGAGACAAGACAGACTCGTTCACTGAAAAAAAATTTCATATACCTTTTTACTACTTTTAAACAAAGATTTGGTATAGCTATTGAGTATAAAAATTGTTAAATTTATTAATTCTGATAAGGTTTTAATGACTAATTTCCTTGTTAAGGTTACGTAAATCTGGCTCAGGCCTCCAAAAGCGAAACTCATTTCTACTATGTAAGAGGAGATTATTTATTAATGAAATGTGAATTCGTATTTTTTATTATATTGGTTGTTCATTAAAATTGTACATTTTTTATCGTTTCTCATTCATTTCAAAAGCAAGTGTATAATAATGATAAAGTCAATAATTTTTTGTACGATGTAAGGGATACAATGCAATTTTTTGTACAATCCATATAAAGAATTCATACATTAAAAAATACAAATGAACATAACAGGTGCAACAGAAAGATAAGGGCATTTCATTTCATAAATGTTTACAAAGCTTCTAAAAATCCCATTTATTAATTTTAAAGCAAATTATGTGATTTTATATAATTTGAAACTAATCACGTAACTTAAGCTTTACATTTTACAAAGAATCATTTCAGTAACTTCATTATGCATTTAGACTCCACAAAAATGATTGAAATAGTTATTTTCATAACCATTTCTTTTCTTAATACCTTTGGTAATAATCAATATACCATCATGCAATATATCTTATTATTTGTATTTCATTTATATAAGTATACATGTAAAATATACTAGAAAATACTCATTAATCTTCAGGCGAAATTGAGGGTTTTCATGAAAAAACCCATATGGGCTGAATTTTTTTATTACTAACCTGGGTTTTTGTGAATCCTGCCTAAAAACCATAAAGATCAATGTTTTTATGTACAGTGCGCAAAATAAAAAATGGATAACTAAATAATTTTTTATCTAATTATTGGATCTTTACATACAAGGGCTCATTCTTAATAGTTCGAGAGGCTGATTTCAAATATGCTAATTAACTAGTGCAGGGGATATTTTAAGTTACGAAATCAGACACAAAAACGTACGTCCTGAATAAACATGCCTTTTTTCCAACAGAGGTGAAAAATTCTGAAATACCCTATAATATTTATTGATAATAAGTTTGTAAATATGGGACAGAGCCCTCTGTCGATTAAAATCACCTTCATTCCAAGGATTCTTAAATTTTTAAAAAGGAAGTTAAATTCTTGAAACAAAAAAATTTTGTTTTCATTTCTAAATTGAACATGTACACTAAAAATCAACTGAATATTTCTTATTTAAAAGTAAAACATTTCTGCAACTGCCCATTGTGTGTCAGAGGGGTCACGTAAGTTAAGGCTTCACAGTTTTGTGACCAACAGCCAGAGTTGTCGAATTTTTACCAAATCAAAAAAGCCGGCTTTAATTAGAACTAATATTTTTCAAAAACTATAATAACATAAAATTTTTGAGAACTACATTGATGTGATTGCATGCTTGGAATAATTTGGAGTAGCAACTTTACACCTTTGAAACAGTTTATAAACAACAGCTTTAACCTTAATAGCATTAAGAAGAAGAATTTTAAACTACAATTAGAAATCAAATTCTCTTTTGCACCGTAAATATATGAATAATACAAAATTAACTATAATTACCATTTGTCCAACTTTTAATGCAAAATATATTAATTAGTTTGAACAAATCATGTACAAATTTATAGAAAATGCCTAATTTATGGAAGATTAAGCTCAATTTAAAAAAAAAATGATTAATTTGAATCAATGTAAAGCACAATTAAGATGAATTAAACCGTGACTGATATAGGGTCGAGCAATTTTGGACAATACTGTCTGGTTTTGAAGCAAATATGGAAAGCAATTATGTCATTAAAATCAAATAATATTTTATCTATTTATGGAAAAAATACCCTTAAAAGAAAGTAAATTTAATGAAATAACATTGTACTGATATTATTTTACTTAGTCATCAATAAAATAAATTTAAATACATGAATGTTAATTTGGATTGTAAGATATAGAATATTATAAAAGCAAATAAAAACTAGCCTTTTTTAAATGAAAGCAGGTCTTTTGAATAAAAAACCAGCCAGCCTGGCCTTTTTCGGAAAATATTGGGGTTTTTTGCAATCCTGCCAAGAGCATGATTGTGATCATCCTTATGTATAAACTACTGAGAATCAAATCCCACTCCTTAACGATGACAGCCTGCCTTAAATCACTGAGTCATTGGGGCTCTCATTTTATCTGTTTTAATCTGCGTTTGTCAAATTAAAGAAAACAAAGGCAACACATTTATTTACTGATGAGTTAAAAATATGATACATTGTTGTTTCTGCTAACTCAAAGGGTCAATATCTTTAAAAAGTCAATTGAGTTGTAGGCTGGCTCTACATGTTTTCACATCATTAAGTAACTGTTTAGTCTTCTGATTTATTTCATTGAAGATATGTTTATGGTTATTATAACAAGACCAATTGTTCAATTTTTAAATTAAAATTTATGAATTATCTGCCGAATAAAAGAAAGCATTCAAGAGGTTTGTGAAATGGGAAACTTATTCCTCACTTAACATGTAGATAAAAATAAAAAAGTGTCTGGAAATGATCTCACCATAACTGTTACATCTTCCTATACTTGAAAGAATACAGCTTGAGAGGGAGTTTAAACCAGGCCCAATTATCATACAAGTTCCTATGATATTATAAGCCTTCATTGAACTTTCAATGCTAACCAGTGGTGTGTTTCTTATATCTTGAGCTTCTCTGAATGATAGCTGTCCATTTATGTAAATAGTCGAAACTGTTTTTAATCTAAAAACAAAAAGGGATTAAAACAATAGATTTGTCAACTTCGCAAAATTTTGAAACACAGCTGAATGTGTCATTTGTCCTGCATTCAATATTTTTCTTTAAATTAAAATTTTTTATATTTGATGTTAAAAAAATATTAAAACATAAATTCATTTTTAAAAAAATGAAAAGAAATCATTGAAAAAAAATTATCCACATTCATATCCACATCATTACAAACGTTCATTTTTGTGTTTATCTACTGTATAAAAATCATGTTTTAAACATGATTTTTATTAAATATTTTGAATGTAATAACTCTGATTTTCTGAAAATTTTTCATTTCATATATTTGTTATTAGTTCTGTTCAAATGTGCTTTAGCTGTAAAGACTTTCTATTATTAAATAAATGTATTGAAATCATTTAATTTTTATTAATAGAGTTTTGTTTTGCTTAATTATTTCGCTCAAGTTTAAAAAGTGTTCTGCATCATGAACACAATGCTCCTTTTTACTTTTGTAAATACCCATCTTACTGTTGTTCAAATGATGGCAACCATGAGTATAATTTCTATATTCTCAATAAAATAGTATTTATGCAAGAGAAGTGATAGCTAATCAGATAGTCACCAAACCTTTAAGCAAGTTGGTTGATGTGACAAAGAGTTCAACAACCATATTCTTTGCAAATAAAGTTATCGATACTGTTTAGCTTAAGGTTTTAATCATTAAGTAACATTTTTTCCTAAGCATTCCTATCTTTTATAGCAACTTTTTAAAAACTACTTAATTTATATTATTAAGAAATAAATAAATCTAACATTAAGATCTCAATATATTTCAAATAGAACAAAAATCTAGAAGCGTAAATTTAATTTGGACTTTCTTTAAAAGGGTTTTTAAATACTTCGACACCTTGAACTACTACTTTGACTTTTGGGAATTCTAATGTAACTTTTTTTTTAAAGTTTCTTAAAACTTGTTTGAAAAAAAAAAACAGTTATAGAATTTCTTATGCTAGTTACATACTTTTTCCAAACTGGGGGGTCGGACATTGACCATTCGAGGGCGGCAGGTTGTGCTTTTCTACTTTGGCAACCATTTTTATTTCAGGAATTTTAGATAATAAGTAAAAATCATATTTTTATCTTTGTATGTGATTATACAATATATTTATGGGGTGATTAAAACTGTTCTAACCATTATGTGTTGGAAAAAAAATTTCTATATTAAAAAACTTTTTGTTATGAATTTTTAAGATAACATTATGCATTCACAATAGTAATTATATAATTTCTCAGAATACATTTGAAGTTTAGATTATGTTGTTTACTAGGTCAATCATGAAAGGAAAAGTATGAAAGTTAAACATAAAAAAGTTACCCTTTAATAAATATTAAAGACTTCTTATAAGTTATATAAATAACGAAATCAATGCATAAAACATTTCTGATATGATCTAAAATAATTTACCTTTTAAAGCATGCCTTTCATCCCTAGCTTGGCCCTGTTTTAGATTATAATGAAACAATAACAAAGGTTCATACAAGTTAATAAGTGAGATAACCTTAAACAAATAAATCTTATTTAAGAAATAAATTATTTGGTTTGCTGGATCATATTATGATAAAGCTCAAAAAGAGTAGCTTATGGATAACATGAATGACTAGAACAAAAAAACATAGAGTTTGTAGTGTATCTACCACTACAAAAATACAATTTCAATTCCCTAGATATAAGACATGTTAACTGAATTCTATGTTGTTAACTCAATTCTATAATTTTTCATAGATGAAGGTTGACATTGTCGATATCAACTGTTTTCACATTGGTGAACTTCAAACATGTCTACATTGACAGAAACTCCCACTTCGAAATGAACACGCCTATCTTAACTGTAACTCCCACTTTGATTTGAACACGCCTACTTCGACGGATGGTCCGCATTGAACACTCTGTTGCTTCTCAGTCTCAATTACACAGAACGTATACACCCTGTGATGCCACAATTGGCATTACATATTTATTTCCTATCTTTTAAAAATATCTTTCATTACTTAAGCTTATTTTTTATTAATAGAAGAATTATATTTAAAATAAATCAAAAACTTAATCTTTTTAAACAAACACAAAATATTTATTTCTTCTCTTCTAGATCAATGTAACGGATACTTTTTTTTTATTTCATTACTAAAGCAGACTTATAAATTCACTGTCGCCTCTAATCGAAAACAAAAATCTATTTATAACTTTTTATTCTAAATTTCCAACGGCTAAATGTTTCGGTTGCATGGTTGTAATAATTCTCATAAATTTGTTGGTGACTCGTGATCGCCAAGGTGTTCTTTTAAACCCATGTTGATATGCTAGTTGGCTTTGTTTTAGCTATGGTATATTAGGATAAATTGCCAATTTTGGATCTCCTACCCATACTTTCTCTGTCCGTTGAGAATAAATTATATTCACTTTTAATTTCAAATTTGTGGAGGCTGGGAGCCCTTTGGGGCCTCTCCAGTCTCAATTTTCTAACCGTCAGAAATGATATTCTGGCTGTATGATCTTTCAATAGAGAGTATTCTGATTTCATCCCTTTAAGGGATTTCTTATTTTTAGATGATGAAATGGCCATTGTCTAAATCACAAATTATGCTTAATAAAATCTAAATTTACATTCAACGATTTGTACATTATTTCCTGGAAACTTAATTGTTCAATTCATTCATTAATAGCCTAAATGAACATTCCTGTATAACAGTATACGAATATTGGCGGCTACTGATGAAGAAACAAAACTTCCATCATACACCCGAATGTTAAAGACAGCACACGAGCAACCGTGATCTTAATACAGCTCTCCCAGCTTCTCACAAAACAGCAATGAATCAACTATTAATCAAATTCTATCACAGATGAAATTCTGGTGGAGGAGTACTGTATTTACCACTACAAAAATACAATTTCAATTCCCTAGTATATAAGACATGTTAACTCGATTCTATGTTGGGGTGCGTTTTCATAGATGAAGGTTGACATTGTCGATATTTACTCTTCCCAGAGGTGAGCTTATTGCCAGCCCAACTATTTGACCTCATGACATAAAATTCATTTTAATTATTTAGATGCATTTTACAACAAAAAAAGTTAACTAAAAGTGCATACTTTCAAGCCAAAACTGACATTATTTTTAAATTAATGCTAAAGAGAGAGAATATCAGAATTCATGTACTTTATTATATTTTATCGTATTACCTTGAAAACTGCCATCTTTCTCCTCTCTCATATCGACCAGATGTAAACCAATCAAGCAAAACTAAATTTGCATCATCTGCTAAATGGAATGTTTGTGTTTGAAGATACAATGCTTTTTCATAACATACAAGGGGATCGGGTAGAACACAAAGTAAGGCATCAGCTTCAACATCACATTTCAGAAATTGTTGGCTTTCTATGTTATTTTCGCATCGATAGACCTAAATTAAATATTCACACAGTTTAAAAATAACATTAGAGCGCCAATTATCTGAACTGCTCGGGACCGAATGTGGTTCGGATAATGAAAAGTTCGGATAGTTGGAAAGTTGTTTAAAATCTAGTTTAAATGATTATTATTTATGCACTAACTTCCTTTTACACTTTTTCTAGGCTTAGGACTGGCAGTACTATCTAAAATAGCTCTGGCGCGCTTAAAAGTTTTTTTTTTTTTCAATTTTTAAATATTTTTTATTTATTTTTAACTTTTCATTTTGAATTATTTTTTATCATAGTTTAGCTTTTTATAATTTTTTTTTATCAATTACTGATTTTACCACATTTTGTTTTATTTTCCATTGCAACAGAAAGCCAGCAAAGACTTTTGTTTCAAAGAAGATGCTCTTTTTCGAGCAACCATATCCCTTATTCTTTTTAAATAAATCAACTGAACTGGATCAACATCATTTTGAAGTTCTAGCCAATTCATTGCAATATCTAATGAATTGCATGCTTCTATATGAGAAGGTTCATTATCTTGAATTTGATCACCTACTTCTTCCTCTTTTCGTCTGTGGAATTCCGATTTTCATTCAAAATTTCAGCAACAATTTCATCATCATTTAAAATTTGAAATCCTGGGTCGTTTTCAGTGTCTCGACACCAGTAATTTATTTCTTCTGCTGTATAACCTGGCATCTTCTCACCGGGAAGATCTACTAGGTCAACTTCTGTTTCGTTTATTTTTTTGTTAAGAATTTTATTCCAAGATTTAGGATTCCAAGCACTGTAATCACTAATCATTAACCATATGGGACAAGTACCCATCTCCCAATTGTAGAACTTCAGCGCATATCTATTCATAAACTCCTTCCTCATTCCAACCATTGTAGACTGTAAATTTGAAGCTCGCATTCTTGGAAGATAATTTTCAGTTGAAGAGGGCTAAAGGGGTATGTAAGTTTAACTGTATAACAATACATGTATGTATTGGCTACTATAAGAAAACTGCTAAAAAAAGTTGTAAATTAAATATGGTCTTCAGATGTAGTGGATATTATTTATTCTTCTAAATTTAGAAAAATTGGCGATAAGTTAAAAATTATTCTTAACTTAAAAAAAAAAAAAATTTAAAAAAGAACGGAATTCGGACATGGTTGGGATAATTGGACGTTCGGATAATCGGCGCTCTACTGTAAAATTATCAATGAAATAAATAGCTAGAATAATTATACATATTTATGATATAATTTATAAAGCTGTGTTAAAAAGCAATATATATGGACAGAGTTAGCATGAATTAAATTGTAATTTGAATTTTTTAAAGAATTAATTTTAAAAAAATCTTACACAATGTGCTCTATAAGTATATTTTTTAAGATGTGATATTTTTAGTCTGATTTTATTGATAATGAAGGTTTTATAAAAGGGGGGTATTTAAAAAAAGATCTTGCATAGGAAGCTCATGTGCAAGAGGCAGACCAAAATAAAGGTGGGTGGTTGATGTCTTGAATGATTTAAAGATCTCCAAATGAAAGGTCAGGGACAGGGCAGTCTGGAAAAACATTGTACGGCAGGCTAAGGCTCACCCTGGGCTGTAGTGCCAATAAAGAAAAAAAAGTTAACTAGTTATTTAACTATAACCATTTTAGTTGGAACCTTGTTTGAGCATTGGTTTCTCTCCCTTCCAATCAAAGCTATGTTTATGTAACTAATAACAATTTTTTTTAAAACAAAAAACATGGGTTCATGTTCTTTATAATGAAAGAACCAACTATTTCTCATGGTTAGATTGAGTTAGATTAACTTAACTTCTTATTTGTTAGACTTATACTTCTCATTTGTTAGAATAAAAAAAATAATACTATTATAGATAAAATTGGGGACATTTAAAAGCACATAAGAAATAAAAAGAGAAACATTTCCCTTGCTTTGTTTATCTAATTATTAAACTATCAACGATAAATTTTATAGATTTAACATTAATGCACACAAAAAAAAAATTATTTTCTGGTACAATTAGCAACTAAACCTTATAGATAGATGAAATTAAATTATTTTTTCTTCTCTTTTAACACTTTGTCAATTATTGTCGTACAAATTTAAAGACTTCACTCATTAGAAAAATGTTTAAATACTATACCTTTGGAAATGATAATGATGTTACTAATAGGCAACATTTTTCACTGACTATCAAATTAATTGTAATGCTGTCTCCTTCAACTAATCCACCACCAAAAGTTATTGGATACAACCATTGACAAAGGGTCTCTGAAGCAGAAGATGGTATCATTATTTTCAGCTGAAAAAAAAGATAATGTTAACTTCTTACAGTAATAGTTAAATGTTAATAAACTACATTAAAAGTATGCAAATAAATGCACAAAGTTTTAATAGTAAAACTAGTTAAATTTTGTACTCAAAAATGCCAAAAATAAAAACCTATAACAACAATAAAATTAATTTGCTCAAAACATGGTAGGAGGAAATTATCAGTGGCATTTTCATGAAAACCTGTATAGTTAAATTATTTTAAAAAGACGAAAATACTATTAATATTCCAATTTTAGATATTTTTATTTTAACTTTTTATTTTTGATTTTATAAATAATTATTACAATTGGAGTTTTAATGGTATTTTTTAAAAATAAAGCTAAAATGAAAATATAACTAATTGTTTTAAAATACCAAACACCAGAATCAAAAGAGGAGATGATTTAATATACTATATGTTAGATATACAATATTAATTTTTTTATTATTTATAGTTTAAGAAAATTATTTTAACTAATCTCATAAGCCTAATATTATTCCAATTTTATTTAATTGTAAAATGTTTAAAAAGCTGAATAGATGGTACCAGGGGTCTGTCTAGGTTTTTTTTGAAGGGTACCTATTTTGTGAAAATTTAGACATAATTTGTGAAATTTAAAAATTATATTAAAAAATCTACACAAAAATATGGTAAAATAAGAAAATATTTTCAAAAATATTTAAATATTTTTCGAAAATATGTACCGTTTTTCCTAAAATTGAATTTGTGACAGCAGTAAATTTGCCCTGGGCAGATCTTCCCTGGTTACTAAACAACAATCTAGTTAAATTGAGCAAATTAGGTTCATACGTTATTGCATTTTTTGTTTATGTCTTAGCATTCCTACTCTTGACTTTTTATTATTCTATTAAGATAAAATTATTAAGGTTGTCATCATTTGTTTATCTGCCCTGCATTTTCTTCTACTCTCACACTCAAGGACTATCATTTAATACCTCTAAAATTTGGCAAAATAAATTAACTTATTTCATTAAGAGTAAAATAAGATCTTTCAATAACACATATCATTTATATCAAATAATGTCACTTAGAATCTTCTTTTACTAATCAATCCCTTCATGTGTCAAAGTATTTTTGAATAAATTAAAAAAGTATCAAATTTTTCATAATACAGCAAATGTTAAATTTATTAAAATAAAAACAAAAAATAAACAAAAGAGCTTTAATTTTTTATGTATTAGCTTAAATAGAAAATCATACAATAAGTGAAAAGCCAAGAAAAAGCGAATTTTGTAGCAATTTTTTCCACTTACTGGATACTCATATTTGCAAACAACTACTTCACTCGAAGATAGTTTTAATATTTTTTTGCAACTACAAATTTGAAATTCTTGTATTATTCCCTCCTTTTTACTTTGAAAGTTGATAGTAGAAATTATCTTTCGACCCATTGGATTAAAAATAAATTGTATAGCAAAAGAGTAATGAAAATCAAAAAGTTAAAAGCTACATAAAACTAAATTTCAAGTTGTTTTTTATAACATTATTTCCGAAAAATAATAAAGAATTAAAATAAACTCATATAATCAGATAAAGAATATCTAAATTATCAAAAAGGCATCTGAAGTACTCACGGCCTTTCCAAAAAAACTTCATTTTGATATTTATATTGATTACGATAAAAATCTAAATGAATCACTTTCTAGTCAAGGACTATTCATCAAGCTGTTTACAATTTGTTTATACTTGCTGCTTATGATTTACGTTTCCAGCTTTTTATTTTTGTCCCAAATGTACTCATATGAATAAACTTATCAACCAGTATGATTTACAGAAGTTAAAAAACGCGTGTGCTGCCGATTTTCCATGCATGCGCTATATATCCCAATCCTTATAATACGAAAAGTCGTACTAGAGTTGGACCAAACGAATCAAAGTAATTCAAATCACTTTCTGATTCAAATCACTTTCTGATTCAAATCACTTGTTGATTCGAATCACTTACTGTTTCGAATCACTTACTGATTCGAATCAGTGAGTGGTTCGATAATGAAATTGATAAAAAATGATCTATGAAATTTAGCTTAAAATATTTTTTCGGCTGTATTTATATGCCTCATTTATTTGTCATTATTTATCATTAATATCATTTATTTGTCCTAAAAAAGCTATTATAATTATTCCTTGAATTTACCTTTCTGTTGAAGGAATTAATCAAAATTATCTTTTTAATTTTGATAAGTTAACAGTGCAAAAAGTTAAGATTATAATGCTATAGGATTATAGTGCAAAAAGTTAAGATTAGTCCCTACTCTGTGCGCTCATCGACCCCCGAATTTCTTTCAAATGGCTTTTTTAATGCTAAAATAGTCTAACTTTATATGAATAGAGGAATAATTTTTTATATGCATCCTGTGAAACCTTAGATTCAAATACTTTTTGGTGACCCGAAATACAAACTGGCTTCTTTAGTACCTATATAAGTACAGTCCGCAAAAAAAAAAAAAGATATCACCCTGAATAACTTTCGTTCTAATGATCGGATTTTCACGAACTAAAAGTCAATCTTAATGGTTCCCGGGGGTGACCTCAAATATGCTAATTAATTAATGCTAACTTAATTAAGTTACAAAATCAGACACAAAAACGTACTTTCTCTGATAAAACATATATTTTTTTTTACATATTTGGAATCTAGACACTTGAATTAGGGGGGGTAGACAAAATTTTAAAACAATTGGGTCGTAAATTGGGTTGCAATAAAGGTTTATATATTTGGCGATAGTCCAGAAAACCGCCAAAAAAAGTCGCCTGCGCAAATAAATATTTTAAGATAACCCATTGACTAATTCAAAAGAGGAGTGCTTAATTTTACTAGGTTGCTACGCAACCAAACTCTGATAGTAAAAAAATTGAAATAATGTTCAGTGATTGCTCGGAGGGGCTTAATTTATTGTTAATAGAAAATATCTCGAAGTTTCCAGGCCATAAACAATTTTTTTAGGGGATTTCTGTCCAAAAAGCAAAAAAAATATTATTTTAATCTCCTTTGAAAAGTAAATTTGAATCGATTTATAAATTATTTATGATAGTTTTTAGAATTTAAATACATGAACTTTTTATCTGATATTATTTAGATTACACTGTTTTTACTATATTTATTCGAGGATTTTATACTAAAATAAAATGAGCATAACTTATTATAGCTATATACAAAATTTTAGGGATAATCATTTTTACAGTTTTAATCGAGTCTTCTAGGCAAGAAAGTTTGAAGAAAAAAAAAGTGCTTGAAAAATAAAATGTAGATTGTATAATAATTCTAATGCACATTCACAAGGCTTTCTATAATTTACGATATTTCTTTTTTCTATAACTCAAGGAATTGCTGAATGTTTAGTGGCATTTTAAAAAGATTGAAATATGTTATGTTTAAGAATAAGATATTGAAATAATATGTTGCAAATTGTAGGATTCATTGCTTAAAAAATCGCTTCATTCTACTAGATATTTAGGTTACATCGTTTCCTTTGGATAAAGATGATTAGCAAATAGCATCCTCATGTTTCGATACATTCTGAAACTTATACGTTCGCAAATTCACCATAAAATGTCGCACAGCATATTCTTCAATTACGATAAGCTACATTTACCACCAAATACTGCTACTATGGTTATTTTTGCTTTCTTATATATATCTGATGATCTCTTTTTAAACAGAGCTCGTAAGATCCTTAAGATACTGAAATGGGGGCACAAAAACTTAAGAGATAAAATATTTAATTTCATTAACTCAAAATATCTGGTGTCAAAATGTTAATTTTTAAGTTAAATATAACTTTTACAATATTGATGTTCTTACATTTTTAAAGACCATATGAATCCTGATAAAATATTAAAATGCATATGTTTACTTTAACTAGTGTAAAATCCTTATCAAAATAATGATCAAGACCCAAATGTAAAACAGTATAATTGACGATAAAAACTCAACTGGCTTCAAAACATATGAAGAGGGAAGTAAAAGTCGACATGTTTCGAGTTTTCAAATATAATCGCCCATTCTCAAGACTTGTCAGGCTTGGATAACTTGTGACTTTTATTATTGGACGCTCAAAACATGTCTATTTTTATTATCATCTATTATTTTTTTAAATCAATGAAGTTTTTATATTTTCGATTCAGTTTCTTGGGATTATCCATTTAGTTACACAACATATTAAATTATTTCACTCGATATTAAAATAAGTTTTACATATGTTATAGGCACAGGTTCTTAGATTGAAAAAATAATAATTCACTACTTTGTAAAAAAATTAATGCAGTAAAAAAAAAATTTTTTTTTTTTGCTGCAAGCCTTAACATTTTAGTTTAAGGTCATAAAAAAATTCCGTTTACAATTGAAATTTCAAAAGTCGAATGTGAAAATGGAATGTCCCCTAGTACCAGGAATCGAAATTAAATAGTAACAAGGACAACTTTTTTAAACAAGTTAGCGTTTCCGTCCTACTCGAAGTTGTTTGAAAAGGTATTTTTTATATATCGATTCCAAAGTTTATTCTACATATATTTCAGGGTATACTTTCGGAGTATTTCGATCGAGTTTATTTTTACACCCTTATTTGCTTAAAATTATTAAATAATTTACTTAAAATAAATTATTCAAGCTACATGATTTAATGCATTTATAGTATAATAATAAACGGAGCTTCCGACGCATATCCTTAACCTTAATACCGCTATCATTAAATAAATGGAATAAGCTTAGATAAATAATAAAAGTTAATTTTTCCCTCGTGTAATTTTCAAGGAATAATATGTTTCGATCAAACAGATTTCATTCTGGAAATAGCGAAATTATTGAGTAGGTCCCTTGGAGCAATATCATTCTTATCCTCTTTTGACGAAATATAGGAAAAATTAGTTTTCACAGTTTCTGTAAAAAGTATGTTAGCCTACTTGCCACGTTTTTTTTAAAATTTTTTTTTATTAAAATAAGGTCGGAAATTGTGTATTGTGTGCACAGCTTCGGAATCCTTACAAATTTCAATTTTTAGTATTTCCTGATTAACAAAATAAGGCATTTTCCTGATAACAAATTATACTACAATAATATCTTGGAAATCATGCTAAAGTAAAAAATTAAACAAAATAGTTTAGTATATTATCAGAAAAAAAATCTACTTGGTATCATAAAGAGTAAAAGATATAATGAAATAATTAGTGAATCACACGTGGTCAGATAATTAAAAATTTAATTTCACAACTAAGATGTTAGGACGACATTTAAGATACTGAGATATTTTAAGACGCTTAAAAATTTTGGCTACGTATTCGACAGCTTTTTATGTTCGGTATCTTTAGACTCTTTGTAGTGACTTCTAAAGCATCAACACTATTTTAGATAATCTATGTTGAAGTCACAAGAAACAAAACAAAAAAAAGACTATCAATGATTTATATTCCTTTTTCGAAAAAAATAGTATGCTTAGTAAATAATCAGCTGTTTTGCATTAAATAATTGTAAACAGTGGAATGTTTTTAATTTCTTAACAAGGTTTTATTCTTAGCTAGCAGACAATAATTCTTTTAAAAAAAACTTGACTATAATTTAAAAAGGAACTTCACTTTAAAGAAAACCTAAATTAAAGTACTAAAAAATTGATTAGTATATTAATGAAGAAATAATAAACGTAGTAGGGTAAAGAATAAGATTTTTAAAAATGTTAAAATTTAATTAAATAGTTGGTAAAATAGTTCTGCGAAACACTTCCGGACAGGTGATTAAAAAATTACTTCTAACATTAAGACGATATATAAAATGTTGAGAAATTTGCGATGATGTGAGGTATGCTTAAATATGTTTACTACGTATTTTTATTAATATTTATAAAAAATATATTCAAGAAATTGATAAATATTTTATTCCAAATCTATTCATACGTATGTATATTATTGAAATTGTATCAGTTATTGAGAAGAAAAAACTAAAAACTAAAAAATAATCACATTAAATAAGCACAATCTGGTGTATAATCATATTCTATCAGAAGCATGCTTTTATAAAACTCGACATTCGTTGAATAAAATGTTTTTTATTCAATAAGATGTTTTATTCAAATTTCTTTACTAAATTACAAATAGAATTTTAGACTATTAAAAAAGAAACATCGTATTTTATAGTTTTAAAAAAATAAAAAAGATTTGCAAACGATTATTAGCGAAAAAAATATGAATGAAATTTTCGCTACGCTCGCTAAGTTAAGTTCCTCGTAAGTTTATCACATTTTAATATTTATCGCCCCACTTAATCATTTCTTCATTGTCGCCAAATTATTTTTTTTTTAAATAATTTATTTTAATTTTTCTCATCTTCTAATAAATAAAAACAGTTGAAACTTTAGATTTTTCCATTAAAAAATATGTTGATTAAAATGGTATAAAAAAATTCATGCCTTATAATTTAACTTTTTTTCATCCTTACTTTAATTAAATAATAAATAATTATTAAAAATTACTTTTTTCATGAAATTATCTTTGGGTAAATGAGTTTTATGAGTGGGCGCAATTTTTTTTTTAGAATTGCTTCATTAGTTTTTAAAATATGACCGAAAACGTAAAAAGCGAAATTAACATTAAGGGGCCCGAACTTTGAATCGCTCTCCTGACCAAATTATGGAGACCACATTTCCCAGATTGCGTCTACCCCCTATATTTTGAAGATGAAAAATCCAAATACACTGGTTATCATAAATTAAGGAAAATTCACAAAAATCGCGATAACTCTTTCAAAAGTAAGCCAAACCGTGCAAAATTTGCATATGTTGTCCACTAAGAGTAGCTGAGTAAAATTGCAATATGCAAATTAGTGNAACGAAAGTTATTCAGGGTGATATCTTTTTTTTTTGCGGACTGTACATTATTTTCCTATAATAGCAATTAGTTAAGTATCCCTAGAGCCAATAATAGCTTGACAAGTACCGACCACAGTGTTGACGTAAAATATCCTCACAGGTAGACGGATTTTGAATTGGAGTACCCTTGCAGTCGAGTAAACCATGAGAGGTTTCCGTGGTTTTCCTTTCTGTATAGTGCAAATGTGGGTTAGTTTTATCAAAACGTTCTCCACGAAAACTAGTTTGACCCAGGAGCTCCCTTGTTTTGTGTTGTGCTCAAAATTACTAGGCTACAGAATTACACTTTGCTAGTAGTCAAAAACCACTACCTATTATTATTTAGTTCATTTTTTTACCTATTGTGTAAAAAAATAACATTAAAAAAATAAAAGAATACATGGGTGTTGCTCAAGAGCTAAAGTTGCGGCGGATCATTTAGCGTAAATAAGAATCGCAATGTGCAACTTTTAAATCAGGTAAATACGAAAATCGATATTAAAATCGCGTGAATAAAAATCGAGATATTTGCAGAGTCTGGACTTGTGATTTCTAAAAGGCTCGTTTGTATTGCTTTTGTTTAGACATAATAAATAAAAATTTACGAGATTAATTGAATGAGCAAATAAATATTTTCACCGTAAATCCACCTCTATTTTTTTTTGTTTTCACGCCAGAATACAAGAAGCAGCGACGTCTGAATTAAGAAAATACGAGCTATCCAGCTGACGGATAAAAAATACGGAAAATCTTATTTTCTGTGCGTGAAATCGGAGAAAATAGCTATAATTTTTCTGCTCTCATCT